GGTACACCCAAGACCTATTAATTCTAGTAAATCCCCATAAATGGGAAGGAGTCAAAATTTAAGATCTGGGGGGAACACAAATTTTAGACTTTGTTTAGTATTCACCGTCTAAGATTCGGGTACCCAAATTTGACTCATAACCACATTGTTATAATATACAGTAACCCCAATAACAACTCGTATTGATACTGCAACATTAATTGGCGGTTTCCTGAAATGGGTGTATCCCTAAATCATCCATTAATTGGAATGGTGGTTTATTAGAATCATTAGATATATATATATAGTTCTTGTGGTTCTTCCTAGAATTAATATTAGTTGTTATGGGATTAATAACTTATGAATGTTATCAATATTCTTTCAAATTTAATTCAACAAACAGCCATGTGATTGGGAATATAATGTAGAACTAATTAATGACAACAACTATATAATGACAATAACTAAATACAATAACTAATGACAATAACTAATGACAATGACTATATAGTGACAATAAAAAATGACAATAAGAATGATGGCAATATAATAAATGTTGGTTCTAATGATGAAACACTTCCCAACATATGGGAATATGAGAACATGATATGGCCGTGAAAGTAACTAATGTACTAGAATACGGATGATATGATGTTGGGTAAATATTACCAACCAACTGTGAATATGAGTTACTACTAACCCCCACATGTTGGTTCTTCTTGGGAATATCATATCAAACTAATTTGTGAGAATGACTAATGATAAAAGTATACCAACATATTCGAACAGATGAGTTGTGTCATATTGAACTGGTTGGTGGTATACCTACCCCTCTGAAAAATATGAGTTCGTCAGTTGGGAGTATTCGTCCCAACTGAATGGCAAGTCATAAAACATGCTAATCCAAATGCTCCAAACCCAAACCACCAACCAGGGAATATATCACATGGCATATGACATGGATTTGTCTGAACATGGGGTATCTCCACCCTTGATATTTGGGAACAATTTGACGAACCACAGGATTTTGGAAGAACATCAAGTGATGACAATGTCATTGGAGGTAGCTACCATATCAATGGGAGATCTCCAGGATCCAACAGATGGAGGTACGTAAACGTACCATATTTTGGGCCATATGAATTGTGGGGATATTCCCTGAAATTAAGGCCTAAAAAATAGGCCTTATATATATACATATTATATATATATATGGAATCGGTACCTCCAATAAATCGGATCCTGGAATGGCCATTGAACCATATCTAAGGATATTTTTCAAGGCCTATTTTTTAGGGCTAAATTTCAGGGGATATACCCCCAAAATATGGCCAAGAATATGGGTACTAACGTACCTCCATTTTTGGATCCTGGAATTCCCATTGACAATGTAACAACTAGTATGACAATCATTTGGGTGTCAATGATATGCTCATGTATCACTACAGGGTGGTGCCCCAGTTCGTTAGCTTAGTTGGTTTATAAGTCCAATAACTATGGTTGATGGTAGTTAAAACTATAGTTACGGTGGCTTATAAACCAAGTTATAACTGGGGGGACAACCTTGTACATATGATTCGGACATAAAACCAACAATTGGCAATAACCACAACACATGAAATGAGGATATAGTACTGGTCTTCCCTCCATCCGTTGCAGTAAAAATGACTAAAACAGCATAGAAAAAAACTATGGACAGACAAATGGTTACCCTCTGGTAAACTAACATAACTATGGAAAACCACCATTTTCATTGGGTAAATCCACTATAAATGACCATTTTCAATAGCTATGTTAAATAACCAGAGGGTACAACCTACAAAGGGTTGTAGTATTGAAGCTACAGCCTTCAAAATGTTAATGGTTCAATCCTGGTGATGTGTTGAAGTCCTCAAACCAGCTACAGCTACAGGTGATGTAATGGTGATTTCATGGGGATCTTAATGGTGATTTAATATAGGATGGGGCCGCCCAGTGATGTGAACGTTGGTTTATAAACCATTATAACCCCCATTATATAACTAGTTCGTTCTACCATAAACCATAGAATTAAACCACTTTTTTTAGGCAACTGGACGCGAGCTCGACAGAGGGCCCCATCCTGTAGGTTTTTGGCAGAGAATGGGGATGCTCTTGAAAGCTGATTCAGTGATCCTTTTTTTTCGTTTGACCCAGATTCAATGCTAGTTCAGGGTTTCGAGTGGTGAGAATTTCGTGTTCAGGGGAAGAGGCATTTTATGAAACCACCAACCAATGCTGTTTTAAGGGGATAGAACGTGATATAACCAAATTATGGCGAACATTAGAACAGTTAGACTTGTCAACAAGGGTTCTACCACCATTTACTAGAATGATGCTCGAAGTATATCAGTATATCTGGGTCCAAACAAGAGACCAACCAGATTTGAATCTTAATAGTTTCTAGCCCCTTCCCCCAATCAGATTAAACAGCCTCATTCTATGGTCCCAAAATTCTGTCATTCTATCTCCTACATCCACCATGGTTTATGGTGGGTGTTGAATATGAACGGGGGAAGGGATTCGGATAAACCCTCACCATGGTCCAGGATGGGATTGTCACTCGGAATAGCCCGTTTTTTTCACAGTTTGAAGTGATGGTGTACTCAGAAATAAAAAAGAAAGGTTGGTGTGATGAATTGTGCCGATTTGTCTTGTATGTCATACTCAAATATCTATAACAAGAAATAGTGCTATATACAAATATCAAAGCACTTTACATATACATATATATATACATAACATATATGAGTTAGTCTATATTTTTGTTTAGCTGTTTACCTTCAAAACGACTTGTAAAACAATCTTTTTAAAGTCGACATGATCCATCAGACCGCGCCTATGAGGGCAGAGGGCCTCGACCAACCTGCCAATATGTACCTGGCGTCCAACGCTTGCGTTTCGTTGCTTAAAGCTGTGGCAAGCCTATAGCAACCAGCCATAGGAATCACACATGGCTGGAACATCCCAAGAAAATCTGTGGGTATAGTAACAATACATGGCTGGAACATCCCAAATCATCCAAATCTGTAAATGGGTGAATTTCCCATTGCACACCATTGCTATCTTTGATTACCGGAGAGTATAGATTTTTTTCTTAACCTGCCACAATTTTCTGCGAAAATACTGGGACAGCACCTCGCACCGGACATGTCCTGTCAAATCCCTATAGGGGGGCGAATCTTTACGGGTTTGTCTGAAAATTGAAAGGGAAACCCTTAAATTCACAGATTCATCATAATTTTCACCATAGCAAATTACGATTTGCACAAACTCTAATATCTGGGTTATAATAATTCACAAACCTGAAATAAGGCTAGTATGAGATAGTTTTCATAGTTAGCCCCAAAAACAATTCCCATCATTCCAGTGACAGAGGACAGTGAGGTCGATATGTTTTTTTTTACCCAGAGTCATGATGATTGCAATCGTTGGTTGAATCAATTCACTATAATTTACTATCATTATATCCCAATTGTGTTGCTTAAATTCACGTGGTTCTTGCTGGTTCTTGCTGGTGAAAAGAGTCTCCTTTTCCTAAAAGTGGTATACTGTTGGTCCCCTGCTGAAAGCTGACAATCCAGGTGCAAGGTCGCCCAGCGTGATATTCTGAAAAATGCTCTGTCAGAAAGGAATGTGGTAGGCACAATTTTCAAAATGGCTTTCTATAAAAATGAGATAAATATATGTATGATATACCCTTAAAACCAAATTGGTGATACCTGATTATCACACTCATAATCCCAGTTATGTTATCCCCAGGATTTATCATAAGTATCCCCAAGAAGTCCTCTCGGTCACCCGGACTCTCCAAATCCCAACAAAAATGGAACAACTGTACAACTCCTCTTGTTAGTGGATATAAGTGGGTTAGCTCACCCTAGTTATAAGTGGAGATGGCCCCTCTTATCCCATTTACAACTAGGGGTATAACCTATTTACGATTCGTGGGATGAACCACCAAGTAAGGTTTGAACAATAATATGTGGGATTTGATGGTACAATATCATTACTAATCATCATTCCCTATGGATCCAAACACTGTCTGAGAAGGTATGGCTAACCCCCTAAATCATGCCCAAAATACTTCCTAAGAAGGTACGGCTGGATCCATAGGGATTTATTTGGGATAATATAATGTAATAATATTTAATAGGTATACAGCTCCTCATCATGTATGACACCATATTTTTTCTGGTTCGTAGCTCGCCACGCAAAAAAAAAAAAACGCTGCGTAACTCGCTTCTTTTTCCGCCGGCAAACTGCGGGAATGCGGGGACGTGATTGCGAAGTAATACCAGTTTTGATGACAAGTACATAATAATATATTGTACCCGTTGTTTAACGGCAAAAATGGTATAACTATGGTATAAAATAGTGTTTTGATGACAAGTACTTAATGGTTATAAGTTATAACTGCAAAATGGTATAATTATGGTTATAACCATGGCTTTTAGACATAACAAAATCACAAGTAATGAAGTTTGGATGTATTGACAATACAAGTGATTACGTACTTGATTATGTACTTGACAATACAAGTGATGAAATCCAAAAAATGTGTACAAGTACATATGCTCCATGGTGCTGGTATATTTACCTACATTTGGGTAATTGTTAGGGCAAATGGTGGTAAATATTCCAGCACCATGGGTTGCATATGGGAAGTACATAACATATCTTCCCTAGGATTCATGGATTGATTGTTGCTGATTGTTAAGTCTCATTTTTTGAGAAAATCTGATATTATTTTTTTTTTAGATAAATCACCATAATTCACCTGAAAAGTTCCGACATTTGGTCGGATTCCGAGTCTTCAGCATAGCTTTCAGTACCAAGTCATGGTCATTCACGACGACTGAATGACGCTACCATGGGTACCACCATGACTTCGGAAAGCTCCAGATGTATATGATAATAGATGATAATAGATGATATATGTATTGTTGAATGGTTTATTTTCATAGAAATCCTAAAAGAAATGAGATTACTAAAGTTTAGTCGCCTTACTCAAGCTAGAATATTCACATATATAGACCATACCACTGCGTAACTCAACATCATCTGAGGTCGCAGTGACCTCATCATTCATCTTCATTCATCCCCACCGCGCGCGCGTAGTAGGTATGATCTGCCGGGCAGGCGGTGTAGCGCTTCCCGCAGAAGCTCTTGCTGATGGAGCTGCACTTACCTGTCGCAATCATTGTGGCAAGTGCCCCCGCTAAGTTGGCGAAGTTGGGTTATATTCAGTATACAGTAGACCTAAGGTTTATTGTTATTTTGACTATAGTTAATGTTTGTAAAACGGCCTGTGATTGAGGGGGCACCACCTTGAATCGTTAGTGGAACTACCTTCAATTTTGGAAATATAAGTGGGATATAATGGGGGTATGTGATGGCAGATAGAGCCATTATTAAAAACATGGCAGATCTAATGAGAATATTCGGGAACAATGGGGATACAATTTGTAAATATGGTGGATATAAGTGGATTTACGGTTCCCATATCCTCCTGCAAACTTGACAAAGCCCAAAAAACACCACTTTGTGTTCATTGAATCCTCCATGCAATCACCATACCCATACTTAGTCCCAGTGACAGTTTGTGCTGCGCCCCAAAAACTATTTACTGAAGAAAAAAATACACGACAGTAAGGCCCAAAAGAAAGCAGGAGGGAGGAGACGAGAAGAGAATACAAAAGAAGATATAATGATGATGAATGATGAAGGATGAAGGATGAAGAATGAAGAATGAAGGATGAAGGATGAAGAATGAAGGATGAAGGATGAAGAATGAAGGATGAAGGATGAAGGATGAAGAATGAAGGATGAAGGATAAAGGATTCAGAATGAAGGATGAAGAATGAAGGATGAAGGATGAAGGATGAAGGATGAAGGAGGATGATGATGATGATGATGATGGCTATATTTCACCATGGTTATAGGATTATTCCCCAAAAGAAATGAGGTTCTTACCATTTTCATCCATGAAAGTCACCCCAAATACGTTTGTATATCCGCATTATGGGAAGATGGTTTTCTCATTGTGACCCCATCGCGAACCTATGTAGTTTTAAGAACTGTTGGTCATATTCATCATATCCCAATGATATCTCCATTTCCTAGTTGAAATGATATGTTACATCCATGTTTCTTCCCATAGCATTCCCATAAATGTCACCCCCAACTGCACCGACAAGTATTAAATTATAATCATCATATTGCTGGCTTTATGTATACATACATATATATATATTATATATATATGGTCCAGCGTTCCAACCCCTCCCCCCCCGGCCATGGTCATGGGTCAGCCATATTACTATCCCCCTCCCCCCCCTGTGGTGTGGGGGATGTGGTACTGTCCCCCTCCCCCCCCTGTGGTGTGGTGGGGGTACTGTATGGATGGTAGGTATGGTATGTAAGTCTGTTGGGTATGGTATGTTTGATATGACAGTATGTATGGTCTGTATGGTATGTATGGTTACTATTATGGGTATGGAATGTTTGCTATGCAAGGTAGGTATGGTATGTAGGGCATGTATGTTTGGTATTGTATGTGTGGGAGGTGTGGTAATTATGTTTCATATGTATGGTATGTGTGGTACGCATGATAGGTATGATAGGTATGGTATGTATGATCAAAGTTCGTATGGTATGTATGGTATGTATGGTATGTATGGTATGTATGGTATGTATGGTATGTATGGTATCATTGGAATGTATGGTAGGTACGGTATATGTTAAACACATGTAGTGTTGTGAGAGTACACAGGTAGTAAATAGGAAGTAGATACATAGCACATGTATGACTATGGGTAGCACGTAGGTACTTTGAGGGAGTATGTGTGCTACGTAGGTCGTCTAAAAGGTAGCATGTACCTAGTAAATGCGAGGCTGGTAGTCAGAAATGCTGCAAAGACCTAGCAAATACGAGGCTGGACCTCAAAAATGCTGCCAATAGCTTGCAAATAGAAGGGGAGGGGGTGCTACCTGGGGACCCATACCATTGGGGGGGGGTAGGAACACGGAACAAGAGACCATATATACGCATATGCATATATATATATATGTATATATATATACTTATCTATATATACTCTATATATAATATGCACCAGATCATCATTTCCAATGATATGTCCATGATAAACCCATCCCCACCACCTTCATAGACGGCACAGCTGGGAGCTGAGCAAAAATCCGTGGCCCAGGTGAACAGACGTCGCCTTAAGCAGAAAGGTCTCGGTCGCTGGGGGATTTGCATAATAGGAACCCCCCAGAAAAATGGTGATTTATTGCTGTTTCATGGGATTTAATGGTTGATCAATGGTTATATACCATTTAGTCCATCTATGGTTAATAATGGTGAATAGTGACTTAATGGGACTTTATAGTGATTTAATGAATTATGAATGGGATATACCGTGATATACCCTCTGGTAAACGTGCACACAGTTTGCGAACTGGAAGCCATGGCACTAATCGAAATAGATGGTTTACCGAACTTAAAAATGGTGATTTTCTATAGCTATGCGAAATTACCAGAGGGTATATATATATAGTATGTATAGTATGTATATATATATATAGTATGTACATATATATATGTATATATATTACTATTACATGATCATGTATTAGTATTATAATATAAATTATATGTGTACAAAACTGTAGATTCCCCGAGTAGTGGATGTCCCATATCCACATGGATTGACTCGAGGGAGAATCCGGAGATGTTCTCCGAAGAAGGCATTGATTAAAGAGGTGTCGCTAAAATATATATCCCATAAGATTAAAATCCATAGTCCCTTTATAACTATATATATAACTATAAACTATACATAAACTATATATGACTGTATATATATAACTATATATATATTGCTGAAATCAAACTTAAATCATCTCATATGCAGATCAGAAGGCAAGCGCAAATCTGTAAAATTGTGGGTTCTAAATCCCAGAGAAAATCATTTCTGGTTGGTGGTATACTTACCTCTCTGAAAGTCATATGAAAGTCAGTTGGGGTTACCCTCTGGTAAACTAACATAGCTGTTGAAAATCACCATTTTTAGTGGGTAAATCCACTATAAATGACAATTTTCAGCAGCTATGTTAAATTACCAGAGGGTACTATGGTTACTATTCCCAACTGAATGGAAAAATCATCGACATGTTCCAAAGCACCAACCAGATTTAGTTGCTGTGCATCCCATGTCTAGATGCGTTTCTCTCCCTGTATAGTACTGTAACCCCCGGGAAAAAAAAAGTAAAGTCCTACCAAAAGAGTGATGAGTCACTCTTCCCCCTTTGGGGCTAATGTAGATAAAACCATTCCGTAAACCATCCCCCAGTCATCAGCATTTTCGTAGGTGGTATGGTTACCATTCCCAGTCGTGGATGGTTTATGACATTGTTTTTCCCACATTAATGATATATCCACTATGATAGTATCAATTGTCTGTATATCCACTAAATATATATATACATATACATATCTAATTATAGTAGATAATCCACATTCATGGTATATTATAGTCTTACTATTATTCATTCTATAATCCACTAAATATCTCCATGAAAAATCACATGTGAATCCAAGGCGCATGGTGCATTTGCAACACTCCTTGCCTCGCACTGCATCGCTCAAGGCTTGCACAGTTCCTGGACGGAATTGGAAACGCGCAAATGGACAAAAAATGTCGGTTGAACCAACCCAAAATTGTGGTTTAACCAACCAAAAATGGTGGTGTAGAACTATCCAAATCTGGGGCTATATAACTACCCAAGCCTGAGAATCAATGGATTGGTTTCTAGCCGCAAAAATAAAAGATACACCGAAATCATCCTTCTCTGCTGTGCAAATGTTTGCGAACGTTACTTCAATGTGGCATGGCCTTTATATAAATACCCTGAAGAGAACAAACATATTCCTTAGGTGGTTCATCTATACACCAACCAAATAGTAAAAAAAAATCACAACTGCTCAAAACTGCAGCCATGTTTATCCGGGTCCTTAGATCAATCCAAGAAATAATCATTTTCCAAAATGAAATGTTGGGGTATATCTGGTAATTTACAGTTTGCTATGGAAAATCACGATGTATAATAGGTACCATAGCTATGTTAGATTATATACCAGAGGGTGCCTGTATACCCCCAGTGCTGACATCACACTGACATGAGACTGCTGCGCACACTTCGTATACAGTAATCTCTTGCTCTTTGTCATAGTCGTAGTCTGTTATACAATTCCCCATCAAACAAAACATGATATGATATATAATAATAAATCAACCATCAACCAGCCATCATTCACAAACATCAACAATACCCCCATGTCTTTGGATGTGTAAAGCCCCTATAAATGATTGTTGTTAAATCCTACTTAAATAACTACTCAACTATCGTCGTGTTGGTCATTCTGTTGGTTAAATCTCAATTTGTGTTGTTTAAATCTCCATTACCCTACAGTACACTAAGATAGATGTGGAAAATCGACCCTTTACTGTAAGTAGATTATGTTCCTATTGAAACCATTGCTCTTCCACATTCATGTTATTCATTCTAGGGTACCCTCTGATAAATTAACATAGACCCTGGCAGATAGGGGTTGGAAGATTAGTTTCCATTAAAAAATGGTGATTTTCAGGATCCAACTGTTTATTTACCAGAGGGTAAATGACTGTGTTTTTTGTTGCCAAAAAAAACCCGAGGTATGTTGCCAATGCCCTCACTCGGACATCCGCGCCTGATGCAAAGTTCTTCAGATTTGCATAGGTCTCCTAGCAAACTAAATATTTCAGATGGGGATGGATGGGTCGTGGCTAGAAATGCACGGAAGGAAGAAATAAAATGTCATGGAAATATGATGATTATGATTAATGGTGGATTGCACCTAGAAAAATGGTGACTAATTGATGGATAAAGAGCTGGCGGATGGTTGAATTGCAGCATATGATCATATTCCCTTGGCCAATGGCAGTATGGGGATCAATGGGAATATAATGGGAATATGTATATAGAATGGCATATAATGGGGATATGATGAAAATATCATGGGAATATCATATTATGGGAATATGTAGCGCACAATATGATACGCGGATTATATATATATATGTATGGGTGATCAATGAATAATGTTTAGTATGTGGCTAGTAAGTGCAAAGTGGTGACGAAACCATGATACTTAATTCAGTAGCTTATCACAGCTTTCTGACATGTGGACCAAAGTATGTCAAACCCACAAAAACAAAACCAACAGGACAAATTTGGTTTGAATGCTTTTAACTTTCGACCCATAGGACGTTTTCCTACACCAAGGGGAAAGTGCATAGATACATCAGAGCAATGGCCAAGCAACCATTGATGATATCCTGTCAAGTCTGGAAACTCTGTAGATTCATGCTACCGGGTTTTCGTTGGGTCATCGCACCTAGGTACCCTGGTTTTCGCATCTCAAAAATCCATCGAGAATAATTGAATGTAATATTTGGAGATGAGAACTGTTATCCAGTTCATTGTAAATCTCCCAAACCCAGCAAAATACATAGCATTTCATACCATACATATTTGAGCTGGGCCGTCTACAAATAAAAATATATATATATATTATACATATATATATATATTATATACATATACATATATATATACATATATATACATATATATATATACATATACATGTATATAATATACATATGTATATATATACATATACACATACATACATCGGGATAGTATCGTTAAGAGCTTCGAACGAGAGCCGTCCATTCCATAGCAGTTGAACACCAACGTTCTTAGGAGGCATGTGAAACGATTACAACTTCTGTGAAACGATGCCGACTTCTGTGAAACGTGAACAGCTTCTGTCAAACGTGGACAACTTCTATCATTTCGATGACAAGTTCTGAAACTTTGCGTTAACCTCTTGACTGGACTATACTTGTCATATACATTTAAAGTTATCCCGGATTTCAAACTGGAAGAGTATTGAACTAACATGAACTAACAACTCACCAGTTGCTTTACTCTGTTGGTGGTTTTTGGGCACAACCACAAGCTGTTTCCAAGAAAAAAAACATCTGCCAGCCAAAAAAAAAACTGGTTGTTTAAGAACGGATTTCCCAGTTCATGGATCATCGAACCAATCATCAACCAACAAGGCTTTGAGCAAACTCCTAGAAACCTTTTGTATAGGTCATCATGTGATGCCTTCTTTGGCTTATTTCTGGAAATTTTAGATTTATGTTGTCCACTTAGAACTTATATCAATTCTATCCACTTGTAACCTATACCCACATAATCGTTGATCCTTCAAAAATCGCTCTATGAAATGACTATCATCAGCAGCCGAAATGGGGGCGTCAACCGAGCCAATGCTCAGCGCTCAGCTTCTCTGGCTATTTCAGGGACCGATTTACTGGAGGTACCTACCCTCTGGTAATTTAACATAGCTATTGAAAATGACCATTTATAATGGATTTGCCCATTGAAAATGGTGATTTTCCATAGTTATGTTAGTTTACCAGAGGGTATCATTTTTTTCCGGCCTATTTTTCAGGCCTTTTCAGGTGAGGGAATATCCCCAGAGAATATGGCCTGAAAAATGGTACAGTCAGTAGCTCAGTAGCTCCATTTTAGGTACTTGACATCCCATCATACTAGCTGGTTGAAAACGGTTTCCCTACTGGTTATCATAATCCCCAATAGATGAGCTAGTATAAGTCCCAACAAATGAACCAATCAACCCAAGGTATTGTTAACATGCTGAATCTTAGATACCTGACAAAAAAACACATTTTTTAGCTGGTTAGGACTAATTTTACCATTAAAATCGCAATTCAGATTAAAGTACTGGTTCGTATCTAACCAGTCAGTTGACCCAGTCAATTGATCCCACTCATTTACCATCATTATCCATATAAAACCCTGTACATATATACATATACATATATATATATATACATTTGTTTCCCATATAAAACAATCATTTTCCATATACCCTCATTTTCCCAGCATATCATCGAAGTTTTCCCAGCATATCATGGTCCAAATGGACCAATCAATGGCTCCTTTCTCCACTTCTTCTTCCGTTTCTCGTTCGACTCCTTCTGTCGATCCCTGGGCAACGTGGGAACGTGGGAGCAACTGAAAATGGTGGGATACTCGACTTTGATATACCCAAAATGAGGATATGACATGGGATGACATGGGATAACATGGGACAATCGGATAGAAGAGGAAATTTCACGGGATCTATCATCAACTTGATCTGGCTTCAAGTTTCTGCGAACATTTGGTACTGGATACGCTATAATTTGCAGCTTGAATGCAGAACATGATGAAAAGGCCTTGATACATCATTGGATTTTGATTCTTGCTTGGCCGGCCATATGGACAAAACCCCATTTTTGATGCGTTTGTCTCAAGCCTAATGTACGGCCAGTAAACTAAGCAAAATTGTCTTTAAACCACAAACCAGCTCCTGTTTGAAGATATTCGTAGAAGTTGACCATGTCTCATATGTATATATATATATATATGTGTATGTAATATATATATATGTAATATATATATATAATTATATGTATATTATGATATAATATATTATATTATACATATATATATATATATATATATTCATGGATCATTCATTCATATATGGCATGAAACTGACCATTGGTAATGGGAAATACTATCCATATACTAAACCATTGGAACTGCCAACATCCAAGGCTGAGAGATGACCTACAAATTCCCAGGGAGAACGTTCAGGTCGTAACGATATTACTTAACTAAGATCAGATAGTTAAATAGAGTTAGATTTGTAGCCTAATGTTTAACAGTAGGATATACATCTAAGTATATTTTCAGTACTAAATATCTTGTTTTATATAGATCTACAGTAACTATCATGTGTACCGTGGGGATTCGTGTTGATGGTATTAAGATTGGACATGTTCTTAAAGTCATAGCATTCCCATCTATTCCCATATCCCCATGTTTGTGACTTTAATACATGTATCTGGGTAAATTATAATATTTCACTAACCTGAATTGTTGGGCCATTTGGGGATGATTTCCCCTAAAATAAACCATGATTCCAGTGAGGTCGCAGTGAGGTTCCAGTGAGGTCACTAATCAATCATCCCATATGGTGGTCTAAAAAGCCTATGGTCGTTGGGTGTACCTTCATCCATAGCCACACAGGGTACTAAACAGAATTTCCATGCCATGGTCAAAAAATGGTGTCTTTTTGGTATGGGAAGCCTTCCATGGTGGCCAAACAGAATAACTGAGCACCATCCCTCAAAACTGAGCAAAACTAACGTTTCATCCATGTATGAATAAATATATGTCATGGGTACTCATATATATATATATATATGTGTATATTGTTTTTTATTTATATTGACCATATATAGCAATTTATGTTTTGACCTTGGCAGGAATGCCCATTCAAAAGGGATTCTGATCATCCCCAATGCAGCCCCGTGGAATCAGCAACCAACAAGGCTTTTGAACACTTATCTATATATGTATGCTGATAGATATATTTGTTGGCTGCTGATATAAGGCGTTGTAACGTTAGCCAACTATATTAATGAAGATCGGTTTGGCTAGTATAGGCCCTTGAAATTGCCTTCAACACCACAAAGGTACTGTCGGAAACATCTTGGCGCAAGTGTTCCCACTATCGATCCCCATTTGTATCCAGACTATATCCCCGTTTTTGAACGTTTTTAATGGGTTTCCCTGTCTAGCCTCACCAGAACTTGAAATTCGCTAAAGCCCGAAAAACATACCATCTTGTTATTTAACGTAGCCATGGAAAATCACCATTTATAATAGGTAAACCATCTACAAATGGGCCATCTATACCATGGCTATGTTAAATAACCAGAGGGTAAACCATAATGAACAATATTCCCACAAAAAGACCCATCCCTATGTCGAGTTTTTCGGCGAAGCCCATGGATTTTCCATTGGGACAAATTGTTTTTTTCCGCCACGGGACTTCTCTTTTTGCACCGCTTCTTGCATCCATTCATCACCTGAATGGCCCCAAAGTTCGGCGCCAAAAATTTGCGTTTTTGCCAAATAAATGCCCTGGGGGGTTGGATATTTTTATCCATTGGCATTAAAAAAGTTAATGGGATATGTAACCAACCATAATTAAATGGTGATTTATTGGGTATAGAATGGTAATATTAGATGGGATCTATGACCATCACCAAGAATCTGAGAAATCCAAAAGTGGCCTAGCCATGAACGTTTAGCTCGCTGGAAATTATGGGGATGTCCAATTGTTATTTTTGCTCTCCGGAGGATACGCCCTTTTTTTTTGTGCTGAGTCCACACATTTTGTTGTTGTAATTTCATGGTATACTAAGTATACTATGACAACTGAATCATGACACATCTGGCCGTGTCTGAAAATGGAATATATCACCAACAATGGCATCTTAGTCGGAAAAAATCATGATGAACGGGATGTTTCAAGGAGATCTCAGGACGGCACTGAGATGCCACCATGGGGTTAGCCTCTGGTAAACATACAAAAAACTAACTGGAACATCACCATTTTTCTATGGGTACATTGGGTACTATTCCGACTGGGCCATGGCTTCCAGTTTGCTATGTAACATTTATATCAGAGGCTTACCTCACTGGTTGACTTCCTATGGATTTTCACGAAAGATTTATCATTGAAGCCACCAGGAGACAGGTTCTTTCGTAGGGGCGCCTCCCGGTCCCTTCTAAAACATGTCAATTTTTTTGGTGCCCCCAAAAAAATATCCAAAGGTTGTTTACCACTAATAATAACTATTATATACTATTATCAACTATACTATTATTAACTATTGGGTTTATGTTGGATGTATCTGAATGAGTCATACAGTATCTCCTTTTCAACAGTTTCTATCCAAAGTGGTCTAACGTGGTGCTCTGAGTCATGTCTGTTGGTTTATAAACCCCGTCAACAACTCATGGTGAATCTTAGATACCTGGCAAAAAGTCCGATTTTTAGCTGTTCAGGACTTTTTTTTGCTGTTTAGGACGAGATTTTACCATTGAAATCGCAAAAGATTAAAGTACTATAAACCGAGTTGACCCAGAACTAGTGACTTTTTTCGAGTACAAAAAGCTATTACCGTAAATTACATCTTATTACTATCCCATTGTTCTATTACCATTACTATGATACCATTACTATTCTGGTTGGTGGTTTCAACCCCGCTGAAAAATATGAAATTCAGTTGGGATGATGACATTCCCAATATATGGAAAAATAAAATTCATGCTCCAAACCACCAATCAGATTACTATGATACCATTACTATTTTCCCATGTTTATTCCGTTAAAAAAAAAAAAAACGTCGGTTGACATTTCCCATCAACCGACTCGCGACTAGTGGGATCCTTGTACGGACGATTGACAGCGAAGCGATGGTGGGGATAGCCTCCAGTAAACTTCAACTGATCATCTCCTGACTTTTCTGACTGAGTTTTTTAATAGTAATGTGTTGACTCCAGAAAATGGTTGACATGATTTTCCAGTAAACATACAACGAGCTGTGGGAAATAAAAAACCATGTAGTTATTGGCAAAGAAACAATGTAGCCCTGGTGAAACATCCCAGGGGATTTCAGATGCCGCATTCCGCCCTCACTTTGTTCCGCGCCAAAGAACGTTCTTGCTGTGAGGCTTGAGCCTTCTTGTGGAGTTTGCTGTAGAAATCCTGCATGATCCTCAGGGTGTCAAAGATGGAGGTAACCTCTGGTAATCTACCAAGTATGCTAGGGATAATAATGGGACAATAATGACATTATATGTGTTTTTTGCTATAATAATCGGATATAATCGGATAATGAGGAAATGAATGATAGGTGTTCCTACATTATATCCTCATGAATGCCCCATATCCCATGGTCAGTTCCTATCGGGTCAGCTTCCCCAGGACTATATCCCATTGTATTCCCATTACATTTATGAACCCAAAACCAGTGCCTTATATCGTAATCATCCCAACAGTCCAAGTAGCTATAAGTCAACCAACCAGTTATAAGTTATAAGTTTCTTTATGAATCCCATTAACTATAGTTATAACTATCATAAACCATGGAAATTTCAGGGTCCTGGCCCCAGCTTTAGCACCACTCCAAGGTGCAACTCCTGTCTGGTGACTTCCTTGTCACCCCCGAACCATCCGCTGGACGTCACGGTCGACGTCTCCTGACGAAGGTTTGAAAAAGTTTTGCCCGGGCAAGGAGGCGACACTTGGAGGAGATGGCTATGAGTCAAAACCTTGGTACCTTCATCACCAGCCCGCGTGCGAAGTGATTTTCATGGCTTTCTGCATGGAAATGTCATACTTGGTGGTGAACTACACAGGAATCGGATCCGGTGGGTGAGTTCAGACTAGTGGATATTGCCCCTACAGTCAACGCCCATTGAAAGCACCTGTCAGTGAACCCATTCAAGGTTACAAAAACGAATCGCAAGTAGGGCGTGTCATTCGGGTTGGAAATGGGTGTTTTGTAAGGGCAATGTTAACCTGGTTGGTGGTATACCAACCCCTCTGAAAAATATTAGATTAGTCAGTTGGGATCATTATTCCCAACTGAATGGAAAAATAAAAAATGTTCCAAACCACCAACCAGTAACTTATACTGGGGTTAGAACCAACCTAGTAGCTGGGATGAAGCACCAAGTAAATAAATATATATATATATCGATGCCACCAATGAACATGAAGAACATGAAAACATCAAAGTTAATAAATCAGTACAAATAATCATTATATAGTCATCAGAAGTATATATATATAATCATACCTATGTAATTGTATACCATAACTAAACCCAGATAATCACCCGCAAATAGTCAGGAGGAGGCAATAGGAATAACTACAGAAAGACAGTTCCCGTTCCCCAAATATCGAGCTTGTGATAGCAAGATGTCGGAATTTCGGCTTCGTAAACCGGGAATACCCAGGTAACCTTTGGTAAATTAACAGTACGACCCTGGCAGTTGTTGGGTTTGGAAGACTAGTTTCCACATGTTTCCACTATAAATTGGTCATTTTCAGGGTCCAACTGTTAATTTACCAGAGGGTATATCCCATTATATCCCATTATATAAATCACCATTAAATCACCATTAAATCCCATTAAAACCCATTAAGACCCATTAAAACATATATTCCATGATTTACCAGAGGGTAACCTTTGGTTAACCAACCATTTTCAACATTCAAAATGACCAAGAGTCGGATGTTGGGGTCCACCCCACGAATCTTGGGAAACCAGCATGAGTTCGTATCTACCTGGTGAGCTACCCACGGTCCTCGCTACCTAACGGTTAGTTGACCCTGGTGAAGACACAATGGTGGCTTGTAGGGGCAATGTTCACATCGAGATTCACATAAAACAACCATACAACAACCATAAAACAACCATAAAACAACCAGAAATCAACCATAAATCAACCATAAATCAACCAATCTCCTGGTGATTTCAGTGGGCCTTGTGGAGGCTTAATCCACTTAGTCGTCATCACTGGCCTTCAGGTCATCCAGGCAAGCTTTCTGCTGAGTGACTTTACCTTGGCAGGGATCCCCTATGCTGGGATGCTTTACAAATGAAAAATCCTTCAACCCATATGGGGGGTTCCTCCATTTGATGGTTTAAATGAATGACTTATAATGTTCATCCATAATTGACATCTATTTGCAATGGAAAAGCAAGGTTTAACATGGATGATTTGGGGGTTCCCCGCATTTTTGTTGAAACCTCCATTTGAAAAGCATGTGCCATGCTGGCAAATGAGCTAGCTTGACCGCTTGACCCTCAGTGATGTAGCCAGAAAAATGGGATTAGAGTATCATATATATAATCCCATACCCAAAATAAATAGTCCCGATTCTGTGGAAATACCCTACTAAACCATGGTTTCTGAAGGGGGTGCTTAACATTAGGGGGAAGGAATTACCCTATTTTACAATGTGCCCCTCTTTTGGTAGGCTTATGTCGACTTAGAACTCTAAGTCAACTCTTGGATTTATGATGGATATTTATCTACAGTTAGGGTTTAGAAACCACCTTATAACTAGGAGCTTTGTATTTGTGTATTGATGATATTAGGATACCAGGAATGATAAGTCAATCTGTAGTTTTTGTTGGTAGTGCTGAAGAGCTTGAGCTAACCAAAGACTCACAGCGATGGAAATATGTACAATCAGCGCTGTTTGGCATAGAGGATGAAGCACTATTCTGTAAGGTATTTAGCGTATACATATACATTTCTCTCTATCATATATAAATAAATATACATATGTATATGTGAGTGTACACATAAATATATATATATACAGTGCAATTGTCATGTCCATTCAATTGAGTCGAACACACGGATTTCATCGTGCCTACGACAGTTTGCATTTGGGGTCAAGGAAAAAGGATTTGAGCGAGGTCGCATCGCCACCTCTTCGTTTTGCCATCTTCACTTGATTCCGCATTGCGGATACTTGGGCATTGCAGCTATCTACCTCTGGGACCATCCACACTTGGATGGTAGCGGAGCCTGACGAGGCTTAATAATACGTTGAACAGCCAGGGGCGCCAGGCCCCCCTGGAAGACAAGTGGAAGGATGAGTTCCAGTGTGATGAGAAGCAAAGACGGGGTTCCGCAGTGGAATGGCGATGCTTCGCAGTTCCAGGAATACGAGGACATGTGTCTTCAATGGGAGCAGTCCATAGCACACCACAAGAGGTACCTGTGCGCACCACGTTTGATAGCTGAACTGGGGGGGACGGCTAGAAAATTTGTGGTTGGAAAGAAGCCGGATTGGGTCTCCTACAACGGGGGCGTCGCCTACTTTTTAGGCCACCTTCGAAGGCACCTGGGACGACCACAAATACCAGAACTCTCAGAGCACCTGAACAGGTACTTCAGACAAAGCAAGAGACAGAAGCATGAGACCATGAACACCTACATAGTGAGAAAAACCGAGACCTATGCCCGAGCTCGCCAGGCCTTAGCTCGTGTGCAAGAGGCTTTTGACCGACGTCAAGATCGGCACGATCAATGGGGTCGAGGCGGGGGGCACCAGTCATGGCATTGGGGAACATGGTCGTCACGACATAGCTATGAAGGCGGAGAGGAGTCTCTAGAAGAACCAAGTCAAGCAGCTAGTGAGCCAACGGAGGGCCAAGACCAGAACACCGAGGGACAGGAAGGAGGACGGGAGTCACGGGATGGACGAAGTGGAAGTGAGTGGGGATCGTCCTACACCAGGTCCTATCATCCCGAAGATGAAGATTGGACCCTTCAAACTCCTGAGCTCCTACCTGACTTCTTGCAAGGATGGTATCTCTTAGCTGACTCAGGTTTGACCAGCCAGGAAAAGAACATGATCCAGACCGCAGTGGCTGGCGACTTCAGTCTCCTGCGGATTGCTCAAGAGTTGCGAACCCAGTGGCCCGAGGACGATTTGGTCCAGCGGGACAACAACCAGAAGCACAGTGGCTTTTGGCACGACGATATCTTCAGCGATGATGATGAGCCCAACCGCCTGACAGCACATGCCTTGGTGAATGAAGGCATGAATGATGAGGGTTTGGCTTTGGTCACTCAAGCCGCCGAGGAGGCCGAGGAAGCCTTGGCTCTCATTCAGCAGGGCAAGCGCACCTTGAAAGAAGCGCGAGCCAAACAACACCAGGTGCGGATGAACCGCCAATACTATAAGACCAAGACCTATGAGACCAAGACGACAGACAAGAAGCAGGGCATGGCATGCTTCCGATGCGGAGGCCCTCACCGAGTTCGAGATTGCCCAGACCGTCAGGCTCCTAGTGGTGCCTCAGCTCAGGTGACAGAAGAGGCAGCACCTTTTGTCTGCTTCACCCAGGGCACGACTGAGGCCTACCAGGCCATGTCTTGTGATGAAGCTCCAGCACCTCTCATAACCACAGCGGAAGCTGTGACAGCAGGCTATGGCATCGTAGATGGTGGGGCCACACGAACCATTGGTTCCACATATGCACTCGAAGCCATCGCTTCGGAGAACTTCAAGAAGCGCCAAGATGGAGGTGTCCTGGAGGTGGATTGTCAGAACACCCCGAAGTTTGGTTTTGGCAACAGCAGTGTGGACACTTGTGTCAGCACTGCCAAGATGAAGATCTATGCGGACTCCAAGCCAGGTGTCCTTCAAGTACACGCTCTGGATCGAGGGCAAGGACCAGTGCTGCTCTCAATTTCCACACTTCGAGCACTGAAGGCAGTGATTGATTTCGAGTCTGATTTGATTGTTTTTAGAGCTCTCGATGACAAGAAGGCCATACAGGCCACACGATCACAGGCTGGCCACCAGCTGCTGCCTCTGACGGATGATCTGTACAGAGATGCTGTAGCATGTCATCAGAGGGTTCCCAGTTTGCGAGAGTTTGTAGGTAGCTCCTAGGGACAGCTCCTTCCTGACATTTTGCCTGAGGTGGAAAGGAAGGTCAACAATCAAGTTCAGGCTGAAGTAGTCGAAACTTTTTCAATTGGTGGTGTTCAAACGGTTGACAAAAACATTGTTTTTGATGATTATGGTAGTGCTGTTGTTGGTGTCAAACATCCGGATGTCATGGGTAGTTGTCAAGTGGGAAACAATCATGATGTTTTGATGTCTCACAATCTTTTTCCTCCTGTGAAACCACAGCAACAGCAGCATGGCAGCAGCAGCGCAACAGCTCAAGCTAGAGGAGATTCGCACCGTGATCCTCTTTGTGATCCACCGATCAGCGACCATGTCGAAAGCGCCCACCAAACTCGAGCTCATCGAAGCCATCGAGTCCCTGGGAGAGACACCTCCCTCCAGTTGGACGATGGTGGAACTCAAAACACGCTTGGCCGAGCTCAAGGAGGAGAATGGATTGGACAACAAGACCCTTCGGGTCAAGACCGAGCTGCAGGAATGGACAATCAAGCTCAACAAGGCCGCCACCAAGAAGGCCTACCTCCAGGCATTTTGCCAGGACTCTCTGGGCATCAAGATCTCTGGCTCCGAGACCATCGACCAGTTGAAGCGGGCCGGGCTGGAAAAGATCTACATGATTGCCAAGCCACATCCCTCCGATGGCGTGGGGTTTGGAGCCCACGCCAGTCTGACCTACGACGAGCTCCGTCTTGCTCAGCCGGAGTACTGCAAGTGGGTCATGACCACGGCAGCGGAAGGTGGATGCAATTACCGCCTGAGTCGCCTTGCCCGATGGTTGGAGATGGAGGTCACTGCTGGCCCAAAGAAGCCAGTGCCAAAGATTTGCCCACGGAAGGGCAAGTCCCAATCCAATCGCAGTCACAGTCCATCAGCAGCCAGCACAATGTCATCACAGGCCATCGCCATGATGACCACTATGATGCACACCATCGAGAGCCTGAAAGAGGAAGTAGAACACCTCAAGGAGGAGAAGCCCCACAAGAAGGCCACCGGTGGTGTGATCACTCCTCGCGAGGAGAAGCTATGAGCCGGAGCCGCGATCTTTCAAGGGCCTGTGCTACATCAACTGAGGCACCAGGCGTTGCGGTAGATTTGAATGAGGCTGATCAGCCGATCACTGACCGAACTTCAGACTCAATGGCTAGGTTTTTGGAGAAGCAGTCTTTGGACATGGCCCCCCAAGCTTTTCAGGGTTTGGTTGCTAAGGGGGACACTGTTTTGGTTGAGGTTGCGTGTAGTCCTGAGAGTCGTTTGAGTGCTGAAATTCAAAGACTTTTGTGTTCCGAAGATGCTGCTGTACGATGTTCCCACTGGAATGGCTGTGACTTAGGGACTTCTGCCGGGGTGAAGAAAATCATTGATGTTATTGAGTGTCGCAAACCTAGTCATGTTTGGATTTCCCCGGACTGTGGACCATATTCGCCAATGCAGGCGATCAATCAGAAAACAGAAGCCCAGGTTCAAGCCTTGCAGGACAAACGCCGAGTCGCGTTAAAACAGTACATAGGTGCCAGCTGCATCTACCAGCACTGTGTGCAAAGGGGAATCCATGTTTCTTGGGAGTGGTCACAATATTGTCAGGGTTGGCGGTTGCCTTTCATGCAAAAGTTGATTGCCAGGTATGACCCCTATTTTGGAACCACCCAGGGTTGTCGTGTTGGGCTTCGGGACCCCAAAACCCAAAATCTCCTCAAAAAGGGTTGGAAAATCATGAGCACGAATAGGAGACTTGCGGAGACCATGAACATGCCATGTTTGTGCCCAAAAGGATATTCCCATGCCAAATGTGAAGGGAGTTTAACGGGGTTAACGGCCTATTACACCATGGATTTCGTGAAACGGGTGGCTCAATGTATGACCCAGGAAATGTCCCACAACTTGTTGATGGAGGAACTTTCCGGTCGCACGGTTTTACCACAAATGTTTGGGGAAGGACCTGTTTGTGTTTGCGGACATTTGAGGGAACATGGGAGTGATTTCCAGTGTGGAGCATGTTACATGGAACAAAACAATACTCTTTTGGATGTCGGTTCTCATGCGGTTGATGAACATGCTCATGTGCAACATTTTGTTGGGAAAATGACCCCTGAAGAGATTGATAAGAAACTTTATTTATTACATGCTGCTACTGGTCATGGAAGTGTTCGCAACATGGTTCATGCACTTGAAAGGCGGAAGGCGAATCCTGAGGTGATCGAAGCTGCCAAACGGTTTACTTGTTCTGTTTGCCATGAAAAACAAAGAATCAATTCCAAACATGTTGCTTCTATTGAACCTCTTCCCCCAAAATTTTCGGTGGTGTCAGCGGATGGAGGCAAGTTTGTTCACCCCCAAACTCAAGAGGAGTATGAATTTGCTTGTATTATTGATGAAGGGTCTCGTTTTCGTGTCGCCCGGATTCTTAAACAAGGGAAGAAACAAACCATGAGTGCTGGACTTTTTATCCAATATTTTCGGGAGGGTTGGATGCAATACTTTGGGTGTCCCAACACTCTCAGACTTGACCCGGCCGGGGCATTCCGCAGCCAAGAGCTCGAGCGTTTTTGCGATGACAATTCTATTTTCTTAGACGTCATACCGGGCGAAGCCCACTGGTTTATAGGAACATGTGAACAAGCTGTACAAGGCCTTAAGGTCTTGATGGAAAAACTGGTGATCTTAGACCCAACAATGACTGCGGAAGAAGCCTTAGCTGAGTCGGTGAGGGTTTTCAACAACCGAGAGTTGGTGAGAGGATACTCACCCATACAACACGCCTTAGGGCGAGCTCCTGATGAGACAGGTCGTTTCATCCACAGTCTGTGCAATCCACTCCCTGAAGTCTTACTGGAAAACCCAAATGGGGAGTTCAAGCGGAATGTTGACAGAATGAAGCATGCTGAGCAGGCTCTTTCAGAATGGCAAGCACAGCAAAAGGTGACGAAGGCCCTGAACTCGAGAGGCCAACGTCTCATGGACTATAGACCTGGTGATTTGATTTACTACTGGAGGAAACAAATCAAAGGTGAACCAGCCAACAAGAATGGAAAATTCTTGGGTCCAGCCCGCATCTTGGCAACTGAGTCAAAGCGGGATCCCAATGGAGCTCTACGGAAAGGTAGCGCTGTTTGGTGCGTGAGAGGTCGCCGAGTCATCAAGTGCTGCGTGGAGCAATTGAGGCCTGCGTCAAAACGAGAAGAATTACTAGAACATTTAGGAGAAGGTGAACCTGAAGCACCATGGACTTTTCCAAGAATCACTCAAGAGCTGGGCGGCAATGAATATGAGGATGTCTCCATGGATGTTCCAGAACAAGAGGATTGGGAAGCAGCTCAAGATCCGATGATTGTTGAGCCAGGCCCTCGGAGACACAGCACCAAAAGACCACCTACACCAAGACAATCTACAACCAACATTCAACCTACACCATCAAAATCATCACGTTCCAGCGGATCAGCCACTGCACATGTTACTGAGACACAACAAACTGCTTGGTGGAATTTCTTGGAAGAGCCGCTTCCGGAGAACACAGAGGGTTCCGACTTTTGGGAGCAACAACATGCGGCAGTCACCATTGAGGTGCCCTTGCCGGAGTCACACCGAGGCCTACTGAAGGCCGTTTCTGATTTTGAGACTTTCTTTGTGGGCGCCCTCAAGCGCCGAGCAGTAGAAGTACACGAGAAACGTTTGACACCATCTGAACGGCAACAGTTTCAAGAGGCCAAAGAGGCAGAGGTACGAAACTTTGTGGCAGCAAAGGCATTCGAGGCTCTACCGCCTGAACTGAAACCTGATCGATCGCAAGCCACCGGCATGCGATGGCTTCTTACTTGGAAGTTGAAAGAGGATGGAGAGCGTAAAGCAAAAGCAAGAGCGATACTTCAGGGATATCAAGACCCTTCTTACGAACATAGAGCCACCACTACTCCTGTGATGACAAGGATGACACGTCAGCTCCTACTGCATGAAGCTGCGAGAAAAAGATGGAGGGTGCGCAAAGGTGATGTTACAGGTGCCTTTTTACAGGGTCGAGAATATCCACAAACTCTTTACTGCACACCATGTCCTGAGATCTGCCAAGCCATGGGCTTGAAACCTGGAGAAATCACAAAGATCAAACGTGGATGCTATGGCCTAGTAAACGCTCCTTTAGAGTGGTACAAGTCAGTGTGCGAGTATCTGGAGGAACTAGGACTTCAAAAGTCCTGGTCCGACCCATGTTGCTGGCTATGGAAGCCAAATGGCTCCATCGCGGGCATGATAGCCGGCCATGTAGATGATTTTCTTTTTGCTGGGCCTGCAGACAACCCAGAATGGCAAGAAATTGAAAAGAAGATTCAACACAAGTACAGGCGGACAGATTGGGAAGAGAATTCCTTTGTGCAGTGCGGGGTTCTCTTTGAAGCCCAAAAAGATGGCTCTTTCTTTCTTTCTCAACCAAAGTATTTAGATAAGGTCAGTGAAATCAGTTTAAGTGCGGCCAGGCGAAAGGACGCCAACGCACCCACCAGCGAAAAAGAGAAGAGCTTGCTGAGAGCAGTGTTGGGGGCACTGAGCTGGCACGCTCAGCAGGTAGCACCACATTTTTCCGCTGAGGTTGGTTTGTTACTGTCGGATGTCACGGTTAGTTCTGTTGAAACTATTCACCAAACGAATAAACTTCTTCAAAAGGCGAAATCCCGCAAAGACCACAAACTGGTGATTCATGCTCACCCCGAAGAAACCCCGTTGGGAATGTTTTGTTGGGCCGATGCTGCTGGTCAGAATAGGAGGGATGGGGGAAGTACTCAAGGGATTTTTGTGGGAGTTGCCCCAATGAACTTGTTGAAGGGTGGTATGGAAAGGATTACCCCAATAAGTTGGCATGCTGGAAAAATTGACCGTGTCACCCGAAGTCCGGGAGCAGCAGAAGCAAGGGCAGTTGTTAATGGGGAAGATGTTTTGTTTCATGCTCGGTTTCAATATGGGGAAATGTTACATAACAATCCAAATGTTTTTGATATTAATGAACTTGTGAGTGTTGTTCCTGGTTGTATTGTTTCTGATTCCCGTAACGTCTATGACAAACTTCAAAGTGAAGAACTCAGTCCAAAGGGTGCTGAACGACGGACCGACATAGAGCTTTTAGCACTCAAAGCGGCTCAAAAGCGAAACAATGTAGTAGTGCGATGGGTGCACTCCGAAGCGCAGTTGGGAAACGCTTTGACGAAAGCTGGGGCTAAGGAGTTGGATTTGTTCTACACCATGAAGGGCATGTGGCGCATCGTTGAGGACGATGGCATGAGGTCAGCTCGCAAACGCAGAAGCACAAACACCCCTCTTTTTGAGAATAATACCCAGGGAACTCCGGTGACACCGGATGATGGCGAAAGCTTTTATGGTTCCCATTTTCTTTTGAACACCACTCTGAAGAGTGAAGGGGGCATGCAATTGTCATGTCCATTCAATTGAGTCGAACACACGGATTTCATCGTGCCTACGACAGTTTGCATTTGGGGTCAAGGAAAAAGGATTTGAGCGAGGTCGCATCGCCACCTCTTCGTTTTGCCATCTTCACTTGATTCCGCATTGCGGATACTTGGGCATTGCAGCTATCTACCTCTGGGACCATCCATACTTGGATACAGTATATACATTATAGGCTATCAAGATCTCAAAAGCAGACAGAACCATCAGAAATGGGAGGACTTCCACTGATCGGATCATCTTTCCATACTCCAAGGACCTACCATAAATCGACCGAAAATAATACCCTTTGGTTATTTAATTTAACCTAGCCATGGAAAATCATCACTTCTTAATAGGTACATCATCTATAAATGGGTCATTTTCCAGTAGTTTCAGGATCTCAAAAAGGTGATACAGCCCAAAATAATCGCGATTTTATGATGCTTGAAGCCGACTTGAGTTTTCAAATGGAGGTTTCAACAAAAATGCGGGGAACCCCCAAATCATCCATGTTAAACCTTGCTTTTCCATTGCAAATAGATGTTAAGTATGGATGAACTTTATAAACCATCCATTTAAACCATTATAGATGGTATAAACCATTCCCAAATGGGTGGTTTATCACATTGTTTTACCCACATAAAATAAGATAAACGGATCACTTTCCACTACAAACTAACATCCATTTTCATAGGGCTATGTCGTTCCACTATAAATCATCCACCATTCACCCATGAAATAAGATCTTCCACAATAACCCCTAGTTCCGCTACAAAATGGATAGTTTTCCACTACAAACCATCCATTTTCCATACGGCTGGCCATCCAAATCGGACACCCAAAACATCCGACAGATCGATCCTCCCAGGTGCAACTGGCGATGCAGTCCTTCAAGAGCTGCTTTAAATCTGCGACCTACACGGGGAGATCAACGAGGATTTTAATGGGGAATGCCAAGGATAGGATAGGAAAATCAATAATGCCCTTTTGGTAAAAATAGGTTTGGGCCGGTTTGGTATACCATCTATCATCATTGACCTGTTGTTAAAGGGGTAAACAAACCCCTCTATTCATCAACCAACCAATGGGAAAAGGACATCTATGAGGAAAATGATATCATATAATATGATTTTTTAAATCATATAAGCATCATGAATTCGTTTTAATTCTGAAGTGTACATGATATAACATGATATAACTATAGTTAATGGATGTTACAATGATGTTACTGGGTTTTACAAACTGTATTACCATCATCTAGGTTTTATGGGGGGATACCACTAACTATAGTTTTTTTTTGCATGGGTTATATAGACCATGATATGATATAGTTATATTATAGTCAATGGATGTTATAATAGTTTATAACCAACTTGAAATAATTCACTACTTGAGGGTGAGCTATCCACGAACGGCAAATAGGTTACGTCACCCTAGTTGTAAGTGAGCATTGCCCCCTACTTATCCCATTGAAATCACCAGGGCGAACTAAGCTACTTACGATTCGTGGGTAGTTCGCCAACAAGTAAGAAATGGTGATTTCGGCTACACTTGAATGTTATGGCTACAGAAAAGGGGTGATGATGATATTCCAAAATCGTGAATACCATCATTCCAATATGATTAATAGGAATATCTATTAATACGGTGCTATATCCAATCGTGATCATCATTCCAATATCATCATGATATTCATAAGAAAATCTTGTGGATTAATAGGAATATAATGGTATTGCAGCCATTTCATGGGTATTCAGGGCGAAAAAACACTGTCGGAATTTCAGCAACAATTATCTACTAGTAGATGCACTAAATGAGTGGATTAATCCACCTTAGATATATCCACTAAATGAGTGGATCAAAATATATAGTGGATTTAATTATGAGAAGTGATTATTGAAATATAAGTAATTTATTAAAATGTACTTAGTGACCCTTATTTAATGATTATATACCAACAAAATAATGATCACTAATTATATTAATGATCACTAATTATATTCAAATAATTATATAACTAACCACTTAATGAAACTTGCTACCAACAAAAAGTGATTATGGTTTTGTCGGGAGCCATGGACGGCGGGGATCGAACGGCATTTAATTCATGGGATGTTTCATGAGCCAGGATGGGACCCCCCAGTGACGTGAACGTTGGTTTATAAACCACAACAAAACCACCACATTAGCCAGGGAAATCTATGGAAAATCTATGGAAAATCTATGGGAAATATGGGAAAATGGTTTATAAACCATAAGAAATAACCCCCATGAATACTAGTTCGTTATATCGACCATAAACCATAGATTCCAGCCAGCCACTTATAATATAGGCAACTGAACGCGAGCTCGACTGGGGGCCCCATCCTGTAGGGTGGCTGGGTGTCTCCGGAAATGCATTCACCCCCCAAAAAAAGGCCAGTATTGTCATGGAAAACTAGGTTTTATCTCACTACGTGGTGTTTTTTCCCAGCAAGTGGGTTATAACTACAGCTATAAGTGAACATTGCCCCTACAAAACGCCCATTTGTAATCAGGATGAACTAAGCTACTTACGATTCGTGGGATGAACATTGACTATGAGACGTCCGGCGCCAAATAAAGGTGCTTAAACCATATGGATCCATATGGATGGGTCTCCATAAAGGGCTTTACCCCTATAAAAAAATGGATGGTTTAAATGGTGGAAAATCATCCGTTTGCTGGTTTCAATGGATGGTTTTTTTTGATGTTCATCCATAAGTAACATCATGTGAAAAATCATCCATTGATACAGGGAAATCATGGAAAATCCATGTTTAAAATGGTCGCCTTAATAAACATCGGATCATTTTTAGATCTTCCACCCATCGATGTCCTGGATGATGATGTGAAGATGGTAAATATGAGTGGTTAACATTAATCTAATTGGCTTTGTCTGAAAATGTTGGGTATATTCCCAATGAAATAGCCATTTAATAGGGATAATGATCAGCAAAACCATTGGGTTTAGGGGTACACTATTTTCAGACACACCCAATTGGTGGTTGACCTACCCCCCCCGAAAAATGATGGAGTTCGTCAAAATGGATCATCATCCCCACTATTGGGGAAAATAAAAAATGTTCCAAACCACCAACCAGTAATGGTTATTATTTAACCATGGTCAATGCATTAATGGTTATGATGGTTAATATTAACCGTGAAGCTGGATTTTTTCCCAGCATTTCATGGTTAATATTAGTGGTTAATCTACTATTAATTTGATGGTTAATATTAATGGTTAATATTAATGGTTATTATTAATGGTTATTATTAATGGTTATTATTAATGGTTATTATTAATGGTTATTATTAATTGTTATTGTTAATGGTTAATGATGGTTAATAATCTGGTTGGTGGGGGCCATACCTACCCCTCTGAAAAATGATGGAGTTGGTCAGTTGGGATTATGACATTCCCAATTTTTTGGGAAAAATCATCCAAATGTTCTAAACCACCAACCAGATGATGTGAAGCTGGTAAATGTACACCGCACCGCAAGAGACGAAGTTGTACTAAACATTACTAAACACTCAGCCATTTCTGATGAAAATCATCATTGTTTATGGGTTGAATCCCATTTTTCATGCTGAACTCATCATATCTTTGGTTTTTCATCACCATTACTAGTAGCTTACATCCTAAAAAATGGCTTTAATCCCAATTTTTCTGGGTGAAATCACCATTTTGCTTGGTGACTTAAACCTCATTTCTGTTTCATCCCCATTTTTTGATATGGAAGTTTCCTAAAAATGGGGTACCCCTAGTTCTCATCGATTTATAGATGGATTTTCTATTATAAACCAACCTGGTTGGTGGTATACCTACCCCTCTGAAAAATGATGGAGTTCGTCAGTTGGGATGATGACATTCCATTCCCAATATGATGGGAAAGTCATAATCCATTCATGTTTCAGTCACCACCAACCAGATATATTGTTATTCCAATTATTAACCATAGATTAACCATAGATCAACCATAGATTAACCATAGATTAACCATAGATTTATAGATGGATTTTCTATTATAAAACAACCATTTTGGGGATCCTCCATTGGAAACCCCGATATTTCCCTATCCGGGTGGCCTCGGTCTCGAGCTGCTTCACCTTTTCGCTGTGGTCACCTGATACGAAAAATCGGTGATTTCATCGGTGAGTTCAGTAACAACCAAATGGGGCACGTTTTCATGGGTTATAAGCAACAAAATGGAGGGGTTCACTGGATTTCTCAGATGTAGAGCGGTTTTTTTTACGACAAAAAGTGGCTTTCATGGATTACAAGCAACACAATCGGGGGAATGTTCATGGGATTTCATGGGATTTAGAGATAAAGAGTTGTTTTTTAATGCTGGAAATGGTCGTTTTGACTGATAAATGAGCCACAACAAATGGTGATTTCATGAGACCTCTGGCTAAACAAAATGGTGATGGGAGTTTTACTTTGGTCAGTTGGTGAACATAAGTCCAACAGCTATGGATTCATATGATTCATGCATGTTCATTGATATTTTCATGGGGCTTTTGTTAAGCAACAAACATAGCTGGTTGTTGGTTGACCTACCCCTCTGAAAAATGATGGAGTCCTTCAGTTGGGATGATGAAAATTCCCAACTGAATGGAAAAATAAAATTCATATTCCAAACCACCAACCAACAACCTATAACTTGGTAGTAGTCACTTTTATAACTTGGTGGTTGTCATAACAATGATGGTTTATAACTATTATAACTTATAAGTTATATCTACATAAGTAGGTAGTTGACTTATAACTTGGTGGACTCGCCGGTTTTTACGGCTCCGATGTTTCACGGACTAGAAGGATTTATGGGGGAGGGGTTTTGTTCAGCAAGAAACATTTCACTGGGACTCACCTTGCTATGGTTTTGTATCATGGTTTGATGTTTCATGGTTGTGATCCTGATTTATTGTCCAGCGGTCGGGCGAGGGGATCTCATGGGTTTTTCACCACACCTACTTGGTGGTTTTTTTTCCGAGTTGGAAAGTGGCTTATAGCCCTAGTTATAAGTGGACTAACCCTACTTAGTCCGCGTACAACTAGGGTTATAACCTACTTACGATTCGTCGGATGAACCACCAAGTAGTTTCTTGGTGACCTATTTGCTCAACTTCCTAGTTACCTAGCGGCCCCGTTTGATACCTAAGCTACCTGGTGGCTCATCCCACAAATCGTAAGGAGGTTGGTTCACCCTGGTGATTTCAATAGGATAAGTAGGGCAAGGTTCACTAAAAAAAACTAGGGTGAACCAACCTATTTACGATTCGTGCGTAGTTCACCACCAAGTAGTGAATTATTTCAGGATGGTTTATAAAACCCATTAACTACAATTAAATCCTAGTTTGTACTATTTAGGATTATTTCATAAAACTTTGATGATGGTAATAACGTGTAATACATATAGATAAATATATATATATATTATATATATATCCACCATCCAATACCACCGACCCATCAGTTCTCCGAGCGCCAAGGTGCTGCGGGCCAGTTTCACTTCTTTCGACCGATCTGCAACGGCCTGACACGATCGAGCAGTGGAGTGAACGACACAGAAAGAGATGTTCAAGGAAGGGTCTTTATTTGTCTATATAATTCTATACATATATATATACAGTATATATAATTCTATATACAGTATATATAATTATATTATATTATATATATATGTCATTATGTCATTCTAGATATATACTTACAACTGAAATTGAGGAAAGAAAGCGGAAAGAAGAGGAAACAGCGCCTCTCATTCCGAAAGAGGAAATGAAGGGGAAAGGAAAGGAGGAAAGGGTCTATCTTGGTCTGGGGATACTTTTCCAACAAATAGGTATCGCTACAAGGTGGTGCCCCCTAGATAGCTAAGTTGGTTTATAACTCCAATAACTATTTTTTATAGGTGATATATCTATAGTTAATGGGATTATAAACCAACTTATAACTGGGTGGCACCACCTTGTAGGTATTGAAAATGGCCATTAATAGTGGATTTTCCCATTAAAAATTGTGATTTTCCATAGTTATGTTAGTTTACCAGAGGGTGGGTATCGCCAAGGTATCATCGCTAGGGGTATCGCTAATTTCGCTTCTTGCATGTACGCAACCTTATGTAAATCAGCTTCAAATGTGATCATGATAATTATAATCATCGCTTTCTGGCGGGCTTGCTGCACAGAGTGTTTCGTGCACTTTCCAGACACCAACTGAGCACTCCCTACTAAAGTGGTCTACCAGAGTTTTGTCCGTGCCTTTTATGATGAGGATTCAATCATCAACTTAAGATGTGTAGACAGATTCTTCAATCGTCTATGATGAAACTATGGTTGAAAATGTTGATGGGGATTCAATTGCATTTGAAGACCCATCCCAGGAATCGTAAGTGTCTTGTAACCTGTCTATATATAATCATATATTCATATATATATAAGACGTATGAATATATATATATATATACACGCATACACATGTATTTGCATATGTATAATATATATATACATACATACAATACATACTTATATATATATACATATATACGTATTACCCATGTATGACTGGAAATGGAATGGGGATATTCCATCTATAACCAGGTCATTTCATATTAGTTTTTACTTATCACCCACTTACAGCAGGACACACCAGTGATCTCCCAAGCGCTTGGATAGCAAAGCAAATGGGTACCCCCATGGTGTTCTAAAATAAATGGGATTTGTTGCTGTTTATTGCCCTAGTATGCCCCAGTCATATGGTAATTTCATCTGGTTGGTGGTATACCTACCCCTCTGAAAAATATGAGTCAGTTGGGATGATGACATTCCCCAATATATGGAAGGTCACAATCCAGCCATGTTCCAGTCACCACCAACCAGTCATAGCTTTTGACATGTTTTCACCAAAAATCGCCAGGTCTCTCCCAAGACGCATCGCCAGGTCATGTTTGTTCTCTCCGAACTCCATGACGGCATTCTCAAATCACCCAATGGCTTGGTTGAATGCTAAAACATGCTGTCTTGGTAGAGGTAAAATGATCGATTTCTTCCACAACCTTGTGGCTATCATGCTAACATAAGTTACCCCTGAAAAACAAGCAATGTTTTGTCTTTTGGACAAACATCGTTAGATCCCTTTCAGAAGGTTTCTGTTGGTCTAGAACTAAGTATTCGATTTATGGTAGAAAAATCTACGGTTATAGATGAACATCAACAAAGAAACGCCACTGGGGCCACTAGGGGGCCCCATCTGGCCTGGTTATCAGCTATGAATCCATTCTGGGCCAAGTCCACTTCCAAAAGATAAATCTGGCTGAATAACATACGAAAAATTTGAATTAAATAAGTATTATCAAATTCATATATATATATGTATATATATATGAAATATCTATCTGAATTCACCAACCGGAAAGTAAATAAAAATAAGTGTTATCATACGGCCAGCGATGTTGGGATGATTCCCCGAAAGTAAAATCGTTCCAGTGACGTCTCAATGAGGTCATTGTAATTCATCCAAATCAAAATCCCCATTAATGATAGCGATGGATGAATTGATGATGGATGATGGCTATGAATTTATAGCGAAAGTCTCATTGATACTGTGGATGGTTGCGAAATCCTGCATCACCAAAAGGATGGGAGCAAAACCCTATAAATAATGGGATGTTTACCACCGTTTTCAACTGGTGCAGGATTTCTTCCATCCACCGTATCCCATTAACATCCCATTGTCATCCTTATGAAACCATATAAATCATCGCTATTTCACCATTGTATGCACCAGATGCACCAGATAAATACTTGGTGGTTCATCCCACTTAGTAAGCGGCTTATAACCCTAGTCAGTAAGTGGGTAAACAAACGTAAAAACAATTGTCACTTGAATTCCCTATGTTTTATTCTGAAATCACCTTTTTTGGTGATTACCCTCTGGTAATTTAACATAGCTATGGACATAGCTATGGAAAATCACTATTCTTTAATAGATAATTCAACGAACTAAATGGCCATGTTCCATGGCTATGTTAGTTTGCCAGGGGGTATATGACTGAACCATCATAATCACCACTATATCCTCATTACATCTTATTACCCTCTGCTAGTCAAACATGGCAATTTTTCCAATGCGCCATGTTCGGGGCCGCCTTTGGCCATGGATCTGACGGGCTGCAGTCCTTCAAGTTGCTACAACCTGGCGTGATCAAAGCGATCAAAGCTTTACCACATTAAATGGGTTTTGAGGAAATAACAATAGTGATTTAATGGTGGTTTGTAGTGATTGATGATCGTGTTTTTATAGTGATTGATAAAACCACTATAGTGATTTAGCAGTATGATTTATAGTGATCTATGAAATGTGCTTCGTAGTTCAATTAGTTCAATGGGAATGTTACGTGGTCGTCTGTGTTCCTATCATTCCTATCCCCTACATCCACCATGGTTTCTATGGTTTCTGGGTTGATCTAAATATGAGGGGAAGGGATTTTGCTGGGTTTTAAACAACCAATGTTACTGAGATCATTGGAAAACCTGGTAGATGAACGCCTGGAATTACAAATTGGAATCAGTGGGCAATGGTGAGCTAGATTCTTGGCTAAAGGCACATATTAATAGATATTCTTTCTGTTTTGTTTTTCGAATAATGTAAAACAAACGATAGTAGAGGATCACCTAGATGGATTGTACTTCATAGTTAGATTATCCATTTAAAACATATTTATTCTACAGAATAATTTTCTGACAAACAAACTTACCATGAAAATATACAGAAGAATGGGCATATGTTTCTCGGATACACCGAGAAAAATGGATTGGGTGTTGTACTAACCATCACGGCAGGTTGGGTGCTAACCTCCTTCTGGAGATTTTTTCATCTGATGGCTGATACGTAACTGGTTTACGGCTTGGAAGTTTTTCATGGCTAAAAAGCTATGGCGAAATGCAGTCACAACATACTTGGTGGTTCATCCTGGTTAGTAAGTAGGTTATAATCCTGGTTATAAATGGGCGTTTTGTAGGGTTAATCCACTTATGACTGGGGTTATAACCCACTTACTAACTGGGATGGACCACCAAGTAAGTGTATCTGTATACATATGGAGGTTTCCATAAAATGACAGTTCCCTAAAATTGATGGTTGAAAAAATGGAAAATCCCAAACCAAAATGGATGATTTGGGGGTCCCCCTATTTTAGGAAACCTCCATATATATATATACACATATATATATATATACAGTGTATGTCTGTCTGGCTGTCTGTCTGGCTGTCTGTCTGGCTGTCTGTCTAGCTGTCTGGCTGTCTCTATGCATGTGTGTTTGTATGAAAATATGAGTGTGTGTGTGTAGATGTACATTTACGTGTACATGTATATGTCGGGTTAATCATAATATTTCACTAACTTGAATTGTTCGGCCATTTGGGAATGATTTCCCTTTACCATAAACCATGATTTTTTCGGCTTCGAACAGTGAGATCGTTATCATTTACCCAGATATATATATATATACATATATATATATACTGTATATATATGGTTATTACCATTTTTAATAGATAAATCAACATGTTTATGATCTATAAATGGGCCATCTATATCATAGCTATGTCCGGGCAAACTACCATATTTCACCACGAAGATTTCGGCGATACAATTGGGATCATCTCAGTGAGATCATTTGGATAAAAAAAAAATGATGGTATAAATTATGGTGAAAAAAATGAGAAACTCCTAAAATCAATCAAATTATGGTAAAAATTGAGAAAAGAATGTTGATAAATTCTGATAAACCCCAAATCGACCAGAGGTGTTCATGGTTTCATGGCCAATCTCAGATACGCTTCAAAACATCTTCTTGGCTGGTGAACCGACCAGAATAGAAAAGATGCAATAATCGAAAAGTTCGACATATTTACACCATCATTCATATCTGCCTCTAATCTCTCTAGACACGTAGAAATATATCATATTCTAATTGTGTGTTTGATATGCCATACTGGTTCACAACTTTCTTCGGAGAACACCAAGACAATCCAAGACACACTTCTTCGGCTTTTTGCAGAAGACCGTCTTTTCCTCGCGAAAAGTCACCAGAATCATTGAAAAAAACTGAAGGCATGAAGGTATTACATGGCGCAGGCCACATAGATGGCTAAGTTGGGGCTTAGTTGCCTCCGTAAAGTAGGGTTTATGGTGTTAATATGGTGATATAATGACATGTAGTTCTTGATTCATCAATAAATCGATAAAGATAAACCGGAGGTTGAAAAACCCCTTGTAACCATGTGTGGATGTCCGATACCTTCAAAAAGGGCTACGGACCGCGGCTCCCTTTAGGCGCGACGTAGCTTAGCTTTGAGGTCCATGGCTGGTTGGTCGGTCCACCATCCAGAGATCCCCAAGTTAGTCAGTTGGTCGGATCGCAGAAACCATCCCATTTTTGAGGATCATGGATACAATGTGAGGCCCCCAAGATACCTAAGTTGGTGAACATCACTCCAATTTCACTATGGTTTATGGTACTTATAACTATAGTTACTGGGGCGAATCTAAACCAACTTCTAACTGGGGGGGTCACATTGTAGAATCTACATGAACCGGTCCTAATCCAGCTATCTAATCCATAGTATCCATAGTTCTGGCAGATCTGAGACCAATTTGCTCCATAGAAATGACCAACCTATATAACTGTGATGTTCTCCATAGAAATCCATAGTTCTACTACAGGATGGGGCCCCCAGTCGAGCTCGCGTTCAGTTGCCCTGTAAGTGGTTTTTTTGAACTATGGTTTATGGTAGATATAACGAACTAGTCTTCATGGGGGGTTATTTCTTATGGTTTATAAACCATTTTCCCATATTTCCCATAAATGTTCCATAGATTTTCCATAGATTTCCCTGGCTAATGGGGGTTATTTCAACCAACGTTCACATCACGTTTGGGTGCACCATCCTGTAGTTCTTAGCGTTGATTTTCTCCATAGAAATTACCAAAAAAACCCATGGGATTCACCGATTGTCTCGCGAGCGCTCATACCCCCGAGCCAAAGCCCAGCTGGCCCGTTCCGAACGGATGGAGAATTCAGAGAATTCTGTTCTTCTATGGATACAAGGTGGTGCCCCCCAGTTATGTTTGTTGGTTTATAATCCCATTAACTATAGATATATCACCTATAAACCATAGTTATTGGAGTGTTAAACCAACTTAGCTATCGAACGGGGGCACCACCTTGTAACATGGAATAACCAAAGACTTATAAAAACGGGGATACTATGGATTCATGATTCTCCATTCAAATATCATCTGGTTGGTGGTTTTCAACCAACCCCTCTGAAAAATATGAAAGTCAAATGGGGTTATTGTTTCCAATACATGGAAAAATAAAAAATGTTCCAAACCACCAACCAGATTATATAACTGGTTTGTGAAAAAAAAAACTTCAATCATCCATGAAAGTTGCTCGTTTTTTCCAGGTATCTTACATGATAACTTCTGTTTGAGACCTGCTTTTGGCAGTTTTCGGAAGCGTCTGTTGTTGGTGATGTCTCCATTCTGACCCCATTAGCATGTTGAAACTCCTGTGAAATCCTGGGTTGTAGCACTCAACGAGTTGTACTGTATCTACCAAACCCAATTCCCGTAGCATACTTGTTGAACGACCGAACGACCCACGATTCAGGTAGCTTAGTTCACTGGTGATTTCAATCGGCGTGCGTTTTGTGGGGGCTTAATTAGTGTCCACTACAGAACCGAGGTGAACTAACTCGCCCTTTTACGATTCCTGCGTGACCAGCACCAAGTAGTGACGGGCCGCGAGTGACGTGCCGCCCCTTCCCTACAATTCCTGGTGAACTTAAGTTGATTCGAAATCAAATGACCATCCCCAATATACAAAGGGTAGGTTGATCCCATATCCCCATCGAAAAAACATCAACCAGTTAACCAGTTTTTGATGACATTTTTCGAAAAATGATATGTCAAAAAATGATCCTGATCCAATTTATGCAATGTTTTTCGATTGCTTTGTTCAACCAGATGCTGGAAATTCCCCATGTTCGATGTCGACGGGGTGCCTACTGGGATGAGCTGCGAAATTGTCAGAAACCAGCCGTGGGCCTGCCTTCGAAGACAGAGTTTGGCTACCCTAAATGGTAAACTAATGGTTTAATAATACTATGGTTATTATATGGTTCATATTAATGGTTATTATATGGTTAATAATGGTTGATATTAATGGTTATTATATGGTTAATGATGGTTAATAATAATCTGGGTTGGTGGTTTTCAACCAACCCCTCTGAAAAATGATGGAGTTCGTCAGTTGGGGTTGTGACATTCCCAACTGAATGGAAAAATAAAAATGTTCCAAACCACCAACCAGTAATTATAGAAAATCACCATTTTTAATAGGTAAATCATCTACTTCTATGGTCAACTTTCCATTGCTATTTTAGTTCACTGGAGGGTTAATGTCTGCAAGAATGAACGAATGAGTCAATGAAGGAATGAACGAATGAGGGAATGAACAAATGATTGAATTCTGAATAGGTTAATGATGTGAACGAAGGGAAGAAGGAATGAATCAAGGAAAGAAATATTTTTTGATGTATAAATCCTGACCATTCCATTCCATGGTTACCCTCTGGTTATGTCAAAATAGCTATTGAAAATGGCCCAGTCGAAATAGTGAATTTCCCCATTAAAAATGGTGATTTTCCATAGTTATGTAAACGTTTACCAGAGGGTAATGCTTGGACGATTCCCCACATTGGGGATCCCAAGGGATCCCAAGCGATGACCCCATCGACTCCAAGGCGCCAGGATTTCGCAGGTCATTTTCTTTGGGTCCGCGATGTCGCCACAGCCGCAGGAGCAACCGACCCCACTGGAGCTCTTCCCGGTGACATGGCCCTGGCAGCCGAAAGACCCACTTGGTGGCTCATCCCACTTAGTAAGTGGGTTATAACCCCAGTTACAAGTGGATTAACCCTACTTATCCCATTTATAACTGGGGTTATAACCCACTTACTCAGTGGGATGAGCCACCAAGCAGTGGCCCAGTGAGTGAAATTTGAGCGCGAATCTACAGGTGCTTCAAATAAGTGGTTCAAATCAAATGAGTGTTTTCCTTGTGCTTTTTTGTGCTTTGATGAAGTCGATTAACAGGTTTCATTGATGATCACTCTGTGTTTGTTGATTGCCCCCAATGTTTACCAGTGAAATATACCATTTCTTGGTTGGTATCACCAACTTTGGTGGTTCAACCCCCAAGGCTTACAAATTGTGTTGGCTAACGTAGCTAAATTTTATTGAGGACAACCAGTTTTTGACGTCGAATCTCCTGCTGTGGTATGATCCTCCAAACAGTTACCCTCCAGGAACCTAAATTAACTATGGAAAATCACGATTTTAAATTGGTAAATCAACGAACTAAATGGCAATTCTCAAAAAAGCTATGTTGATTTGCTAGGGGGTATATGACATTGAACCATCATAATCACCCCTATATATATCCTGATTTCCGCTAGTCAAACATGGCAATGGAAAATGCACCATTTTTTTCGATGCACCGTTCCCTTGAAATCTCCAACTTTATGGGGTATTTCCAGCCGGCCATGCTTTAGATGAGTGGAGGGTTTTCATATTGAACACCCCGGTCCCGTTGTCCCAAATATGTGTTGTTCCCAAGAAGTGCCCTTACGAAATCCATGCTTTCGGCGGTTTGTTCGAAGGGATGGGATGATAGTGATGGATATTATACCCTTATCACTATTTGGAGCATAATATCATATATGATAATATATATATATAATTGAATAATAATATATTGATCAATTTATAATCATCTATAATAATATATTGATAAATGTGTAATAATATATACTAATATAATGATAAATAAGATGAATGGCGAACATCTGTGAACACAATCTACATACATGAATCATGAAGGGATGATTTCACAACATTTAACAACTCAACAAGATCACCTCCGGAAAAAAACGAAGCGGATAATCTCACGGCTGGTGCCTCCTCTTGGTAGGTCTTCCCCTTGGGTTTCTCCCGCTTCAGAATCTCCAATGCACGGAGCGTCGAGTCCTAAAGCCGTGGAGAAAGTGGCCCAAGTCCTATAGGATGGTGCACCCAAACGTGATGTAAACGTTGGTTGAAATAACCCCCATTAGCCAGGGAAATCTATGGAAAATCTATGGGAAATCTATGGGAAGTCTATGGAAAATCTATGAAAAATCTATGGGAAATATGGGAAAGTGGTTTATAAACCATAAGAAATAACCCCCCATGAATACTAGTTCGTTATATCTACCATAAACCATAGTTCAAAAAAAACACTTATAATATAGGCAACTGAACGCGAGCTCGCTCGACTGGGGGCCCCATCCTGTAGGGATTTCCATCATGATGTTAAATACCCAACAGAAGTAGCTATTTCACCAAAAATCATGGTGATTTGGACCACCAGAAATGGCGCTTCAACGCTTCAACGCTTCAACATGATTCAACCAGAAAAAATGTTGATTTATCCATCCAAAAATTGGATGTATTCGATTTGTCCGAGAAAAAAACGTGGTTTCTGCGGAGAAAAAAAATCGAGGATTGGGGCAACACCAAGTTCCACGATTCATGGGGCCCCTGATCATCCCTCAATGTGTTATCCCTATCTCTGGATTGCTCTATGTTCATCTCATCCGATTGCTGATTGTTGCTTGTTTTTGAAAAATCCCATGACATATGCCTATTAATATCCCTATTAGATCCCCATTTGAAAAACTTGTCGTATGGTTAAATCCAAGGAACGAGATGGCGGCACAACGGCCAAGTTAACCAGTCGTGTTTGGCCAAGAGTCCAGGGTTTCTTTGGCGTCATGACACTGTGCCTGCCAGGCCCAGGTTGTTAGCCATCTCTGGGTGATCTAAGATGAAGCTGGAAAAATCGTTGATAAAAAACGAGCACTCGCATCACTTCGGGGACCAGGATGCAGTGGGGCTATATGTTGTTGGCTACAACACCTTTAGGGTTTATATGTTGTTACACTTGATGCAAGAAGAGCCACGACACCTTTTGGATTTTTATGTTGTTACACTTACGTGATGTAAGAAGGGCTGCGATACCTGAAGCGGACTATTTCAATACAATAAGTACCCATCTTAAAACAACCCTGGAAAATCACCTTGAAAATCTTGGACAATTTAGGACAACCCTCCGGGCCACCATCAATTTCTAGTCTTAACAGTAGTTGCAAGGTGGACCCCGGCACAAGTTGGTTTATAAACCCTCTTGAGTATCTTACACTTGTTGGAGTTCTAAACCAACTGAACGCTATCTGCTTTGGCGGCCACTCCTTGTAGTTCATCGCATTTAGATCCACTTAGTCAATAGCTTCCGACCTCTCATTTTTTTGGGGGGGACAAACACCCAGCAATCAAAGGCCCGTATACAATCCACTCACAAGATGTAGGATTAGCTACAAAGTAATCCCAATGTTCATTCGTTAAATCCATATGTTTTTAGCTCAATCATGCTAAATCCATATATGATATATGTTTGCTGCTTAGAATCACCTGAAATCATGATGCTTTAATCCCCATTGTCGCCGGTGACCACCGATTTCAGTGTCTGAAAATGCGGGAATTGGCTCCAATTATGGCCATAGAAAACTGGAGGAAACGAGTTATCAACATGGCGGCCAAATTTCTAATATGTTAATCATCAGTGCACGGATTAATCATTATTTTCCGCTATTGAAATGAACAATTCTGGGGTTACCCTAGTGTTAGACAAACCCACATCTTTGTTCACCCAAAAATCCAGTTTTGCCGGTGCCTCATAACAATCTGCCTGCCGTTGGCGGACGATTCCCAGATGTTTTGCCGCCAATATGTCGGGCAATTCATCTACAAAAACGGTGATCAATGATATACCGATATACTGTGTAGTATATGATAAGTAACATGACATATATATATACATACTTAGTATTATACGATGATATCATGAACTTTTTCAGAGCGCTACAATGGGTGCTGCACAACGGGAAGATTTGGATGCAACAAAAAGTGTGGATTTTTCACCAATTTTCGTGGATTCAACCAACGAATTGACACTTTTTTTTACCAACAAAACAAGGTGAAAATGCCTAAGAAAAATGTGTTTTTTTACCCATGATCGAATGAGGACTTAAGGCCTTGATATATTTGACGGACATCATGGGAATAACACTGAGTTCATATTGATTGACTACCAATATTTGAAGGTATTTGATGGATCGGATTCTGACTTATTACCGAATTTACACAGCCAACCTGAGATGTTTACCACTTGAAAATAGGTTCTACATCTGTGTAGATTCTTAGTTTTATCATGTTCCAAAATGCCAAACAATCAAAGCACTACACATCCATGTGACTTCAATTGGACAAATGATTGAACAAACGTCGAGTTCATGGAGTTCATGTTCAATCATTTTTCCATTTCAAGTTACATTATTGTTAATCACTTTTCCAATTCAAGTTACATTATTGTTAATCATTTTTCCAATTCAAGTTACATTAATGACTAAAGATTCAATCATTCATGTTCATGTTCAATCATTCATTCTGGGTAAATTATAATATTTCACTAACCTGAATTGTTCGGCCATTTGGGGATGGTTTCCCTTACTAACCATGATTTCCAGTGAGGTCGTAGTGAGGTCGTTATAATTTACCCAGATTTAATGACTAAATAATTCAAAAATGATTAAAACCGAAAATAGTTTCGCGCAGACCTTGGTGAAATCATTGAGATCCCGGATGGATGAGTCGCCCGATGATTGTTGGTGAAGTTATGTGAAATCCCATGAAAAATGTCATTCAAAAACGAACAGGCTATATAATATATACATATACATACATGTATATAATATATACATGTATGTGTATGTATGTATATAATATATATATACATATATATATATGTATATGTATGTATATTATATATTATGTATGTATGTGTGAATTGTTGCCATCGATTTTCCTGGAAACTCACCCACGGTGACACGGTCCGTTTTTTCAAAACGGGTCCTTGGTCACCACACAGTCGCGCTTCAGCCCAAGCTTAAACTCAGGTTCGTCTTCCTGACGATCAATGGTGATTTCTAGGTGATTTACTGGTTGGTGGTTTTCAACCAACCCCTCTGAAAAATGATGGAGTTAAAGTCAGTTGGGATGATGAAATTCCCAGCTGAATGGAAAAATTAAAGCCATGTTCCAAACCACCAACCAGATCAGTTGTGGGCCGGAAAACCGAGAAGTTCTTGTGGGTTTCGTATGGAAATTTCATGTGGCTTCATAAAATGCAACAAGTAATCAATGGATTATAGGAAACCCCTATATTATCAACATTGATAATAGGGAATTTTTGATAATAGGGGTTTTAATTCCCTTTCATCAATGTTTCAAGGGATTTTGTTTATAGGAAACCTCTATATTATCTATATTTGATGGGGAAAACTGGGAAAACTGGGAAAACAATGGTTTCCTCTAGATTTCCTCTCCAACCAATCCAGTGAAGTAGGTAAATAACTTAATGTAATGAGTTTAATGTAATGAGTTTGTTATAGTAAAAAGATGCAACAAGTAACATTTCAAAAATAGATGGGTTTATAGTCCGTAAGTAGTATCAGTAAGTAGTAGTATGATACCTTATCGGGTTAAAAAAGAGTGGTTTCTGGTAATCCAAAAAAATAGAAAAGAGAAATTCCACCAAAACATGATGAATTGAAGCGCTTCTATCTTTGGGGGGGTTACTGCACATGTTTTTATGTGTATTTGGGTTTGTCTGAAAATAGTGTACCCCTTCACCCAATGGTTAATGATCATTATCCCTACTAAATGGCTATAATTGGGGGTATACCCCATTTTTAGACATACCCATTTAAAAAAAAGAGAGATTGGATGAACATCCTCAGGAACTTTGGGGAAAAATACACCAGTCACCAGTCACGTAAAACATCATAAACCATCATTCCAGTGGCGGAAAACAACGTTTTAGGTCGCTCGGCTTTCTCATCCCGACCTGTCCCTCTCAGTCCTGATTTCATTAACCCAACAGGTTGACGAAAACTTCTGTGACAGTTTCGCATATTTCAGGGTTTCCTAAAGTCATGAAAATATCCCCAAATCATCCAAGTCATGAGACCATTATATATGGCCTAACTTCTTATATATATATACTTATTCCAAGACATGATATATCATTTTATGGCCTAACCCATGGGATCCCACATGGAAAACTCCAAACTTCGGCGCAAATTTCGGGGCCTTGCAATCCGTGGCCCAAACGGGACAACAAGGTGCACCTTCCACCACGCCCTTCTTCTCCTCGAACTAAATGGGGGGATGATCTAGCCAACATCAGCCAACCATAATTGGAAATATCCCCGAACTACCCTCTGGTTATGTCAAAATAGCTATTGAAAATGGCCCATAGAAATAGTGAGTCTTTCCATTTACAGTAAAATGGGTGGATCTTTCCATAGTTGTGTACAGTAAACGTTTACCAGAGGTAAATGATCTAAATGGAGGTTTTTCCATGAGAAAATCATCTATCAATGGGAGATTATCCATTGAATCCATTGTCATGTTTGACTTACCGGAAGGTACAGTAAAATGCCTTCCGATGGAGTAATTTATCAGCTGATCAATCAGAGGGAAACCCTCCAAATAGTGATATGTTTGGATATATTTGGCTGTACTCAAATGGTAACCCCAAATTAAACAACTAAAGGGGTTATTAATCCGGGCTTGACACTATGGCTTTGTTTGAAAATTCTGTACCCCTAAATCTGGTTCATAATTCCCCTCCTAAAGTTCTTATTTTGGGTGGAAACCCCATTGCCATGTTTCATTGCCAGAGGCAACCCCAAACGAAGGACCCTCGACTGTGCAGGACATCAACTGTTCCTCCGTGCTACCATCGCTGGATTTCCCACTTGTCCGAGGCTTTGTAGGTTGAATCACCCCAGTTTTGCTGCAAGATCAAGGTTTGTTGGTGAAACCACCATTTTCTCAAGTTGATGTCTCAGTCTTCGCTATATTCGCGTGAGTTTGTTGTGAAAACTCATTCTTGGTGGCAGAAAGAGTTTCCATTTTGGAGGTGTTTTTCTGTTTTCTTAGGGTATTTAATCATATTCTGCAGCTCCAACACCAATTTTGGCACCAGGTGATTCCCAAGCCCAAGCAATCATGGTTTATGTTGCGGGTTTTTTCCCGGCTATCAACAACTAATCCCTTCCCCCGTTCATATTAAACACCCCCTAAACGAAACCATGGGTTTAGTAGGGAATTTCCACATTCCATTGGGACCATTTATGGGGTGTTTAATATTAAAGTGATGGGATTAGTATACGAGCTTACTAAAACATACTAAAACCATCTATTATTGCGGGGATCGCCGTATACCTCGGGGGTTCAATCCCCCATTCAGCGGATGGTTGCAAAATTCTGCACGAGTTGGTAGATGCCTACAACAACACCCCATGGAAAAAAACATGTTTAACCATGAAATCATGTCCAAGGGTGTTTGATAGTTACCTTTCAAACACTAACTGATGCTTTTGATGATTTTACCCAGCTATAAAATGGTGATGTTCCATCGTTTTTTGTAGGTTTACCAGAGGGTAACTGATGATTTCGCAACCATCCAACCCATGGTATTCCATGCTCCACCATTCCACCATGGCGCCACTTCGCAAGTGTCGATCACCGCTTCCTGCGGTGTTGGATTTCCCAGTCCATGGTGAAGATCAGCCCCAACATTTGCAGAATAAAAATTAGCCAGCTTTGTAGGTAAAATATACCAGCACCATGGGTTGTGGGATTTTTCATGGATCTAACTAACCCTACTTCTGAAAAAATCCGCTTCAAAATGGCCCATTTTTTTGTGCGATTCTCCGGTTTCGTTGATTTATCAATCACCAGGGCCAAAAACCTATCCCTTCACCAAGTGGATCATCCTGTATCATCCCACGTGGATAACCCTCTGGTAAACATATCCCATAGAAATCGTTGATCTACCGAACTTAAAAATGGTGGATCTTTCCATAGCTATGATTCTATGATGTTAGTTTACCAGAGGGTAAATGGAAAAAACATCGCCCAGAGGTAGGGAACATGAAAAGCCTTGGTGTCTTGGTGACGAAAAAAGCTCTCTAAGGATTCTTGACCCTCCAGTAATCAAACGTGGCAATGGAAACCCCCCCATTATAACCGGTTGGTGGTATACCTACCCCTCTGAAAAATATGAGTTCGTCAGTTGGGATGATGAAATTCCCAATATATGGGAAAATAAAAGTCATGTTCCAAACCACCAACCAGATAAATATTCTAAATGGTTTACCCAGTTAGAAACCTCGAAAAAAGATGTTCGATTGCCACGTTTGATTATGAAGGAACTCATTATTATTCAAGATTACAAGGTGGTGCCCCCCCCGTTATAAATGGGTTATTAAGCCCCAGTAACTAGTTCGTTATATCATAAACCATAGTGAAATTGGACTTCTGTTCACCAACTCATAGCATCGTATAGCTAACTATGGGGCACCACCCTGTAGGTGTTTCATGTTTTCCTGGTTCCAAAATGACAAAAAACCCGGCAGCCCCCACCTTTTTGCGCTGCCAAAAAAGGCCAAAATCTCAGGTTGATGATCCCCAACGTAGCTAGTGGATTGATTGAAAAGCCCTATCCAAAATGGATGAGAACTAGGGGTACCCATATTTGGGATTTTTCCATTATTTATGGAAATATAATAGTTTATGGAATATAATATTTAGAAAGCCTCCTTAGAAGTATACTTCTAAGTATACTTCGATGGATTAATAAACCAACTTAAACGTAAATTCATAACGATAGGGCGATAGGGGGCACCACCTTGTGGTTGCCAACCAATTAACATTCCCGGGACGCAACATCACCCTGTCCAGCTCTTGGTCTACTCGTTGACCATTTCGAGGACCGCAGGAACAGCATTTGGAGGACTCGATGCGCAGCAAAAAAGGCGAAAAAAATCCCATCGGAGTTAAAACTTGACTTTTGAGATTCCATTAGTATATATTAGTATCCCCTAAAAATTTCCCCACAAGATTTAGGATGTGTCCAAACATGGATGAAAATGTATGTTTAGAAACTGCGTGGTGCTTCATACTACGAGTCGCAAGTGGGTTAGAAAAAATTGTTCTTTCAATGACCAGATTCATCTATCATTTCACCCCATCAACTAGTTCGTTATATCATGTTATATCCACCATTAAACACTAGAATTCACCAGAAAATTGACACCAACTAAGCAATCGAGTTTGTTCATTGGGGGGCCCATCTCGTATCAACATGACAAGTTCATGACAAGAACAACTGCTTTTCCCTCCGGTAATTAAGCACGGCAATGGAAATTCCCAAAACTGTAGAGTATGATCAGAACTCGTCAAATTCCTATTATCTATAATATGGGATTGTATGGGATTACTATACCCTCAATGATAACTAATTGTCCCATTCCATGTGGTTCGGTTTTTTTCCAGCCAGCCACGTTTGCCATGCATCAAAGTTGGCCAAGAAAACTGCACTGGAAGACTGGATGGTGGGGCATGAAATTCTCACGTTTGACGCTAGGCAATGGTAGGCATAATTTGGGAAAACTGTTTTTGGGGATATAATAGTGAGATATGCATGGCTGGTTGGTGGTTTCAACCCCTCTGAAAAATATTTGTCAGATTGGATCATCATCCCAACTGTTGGGGAAAATAACAAATGTTGCAAATCACCAACCAGATGAGGTGTATAATAACCAACAATCTGATTTTGGGCGTGTCCAAGAATGGCGTACCACATGGCTAGTTTCCAGGTGAAGACTACGACAATGCTTCACCAGCCAAGTAAAGTATCACATCTGGGGCTTTCCTAATTAAGTGATGGGGGTAGCCCCATTCAACTCTGGATGGTGTTTATTTCCTGGAAAATCCTAGTCCTAGTCCTTCTAGTCCTATTCATTCATGGATGAGAACAATGGTGGTACCCCCATGACTCAACGGAAACCTCCATGCATCCCCAAGAAGATGCAAAAACCATAGAAGGTCATCATCTTCAGCGAATCCAGCGACTGTTCTCTTTGGGTCCACTGGAAAGCCAAACGCATTGTGACAGAAGTTACAAAAAATTAGGTGTATCTAAATGGAAGTCCACAAGACAGCAAACTGTGGCTTTACTTTGAGCTGGACATATGCGAAAATCAAACTAATGATGTAGAAAAGTAAAGCAACAAACTATCCCAGGAAAACTCGAATCTATTCATGCTATTCAATGACAGGCTGCAAACAAAAAATGGCAAAAATGGGGACACCGGATACCTGCGATGTGTTGATTTTGAGAGTTGAATAACACTAAGCTAACAGTGAATGAATGGACACAACCCATAAAAACACCCTGCATTTTCGTGTTTTCTTGAGAAATCAGTGCCTTTCAATTTTGATGAAAACCATATAAACCCATATAAACCCATATATGGCCATATATGACCATAAATAACCATATATGACCATAAGTCATCAGTGACTTTCAACTGAGGTTAATATTGGTGTTTGTTTACCCCATGTTTCGTAAACACACCCAGTCCTGTTGGTTAAAAAATGATTCCCCAAGTCCCCCGGTTTACCAACGGGTAGCCCGTTTTTTAATGGATGATTTTTAGTGTGGTTTACATCTTATGAAAAAATGGATGGTTTATTTCATGCTCTCCATACCAAAAAAAAACATCTTATTTTTTGTTATCATCTAACTTAACATCTATTTCGGAAAATCAATGTTTAAAATGAATCTGGGCAAATTATAATAATTCACTAATCTGAATTGTTCGGCCATTTGGGGATGATTCCCCTAAAATAAACCATGATTTCCAGTGAGGTCGAACAGTGAGGTCGTGATGAAATTTACCCAGATGAATGATCAATTTGGTTCCCCCCATGACTTCGGAAAATTTGGGCGTCAGAGTCACGTCAAACTTCCACCCGTCGCACTTCCGTGGCCTCAACGGAAGCCACGTCGTCATCCCACGGTATCGCAGGCGACTTCACCGTTCCAAACAAACCAACCATGGGGGGCATCATTGACATCATGAAAAACCATCGCAACTGTGGTTAAAACCATGACTAATGTGCTTAAAACATCTTAAAACCATGTCATAAAATGTCATGTTTACCATTTCCCAGTCATCACCATTTTTATGGCTGCTGTAAACCATTTAAACCATCAAAAATGGGATGGTTTAGCAACCAGATCCTGCTCCGCAGATTATAGGCCACGGTTAAAAAAACGTATTGAAAAAGGTGGTTTTCTCCTTCAAAGATGTATCTCTTCATTTACATGGTGCTTTTTCATATCGAAAATATACAAATACGGCTTTGGTAAATGTGGTATGGTCCAAAAATAACATGATAACTATGATTACCAGTAAGATTCTTGGGCGGCCTATGGATCCTATGGCCTATTTTCAATCCCATATGACGATGATTTTTCTACATCACCCTTTGCAACAAGGTGCTAACCCCCAGTTATAACCAATTGAGCTAGCTAAGAAGGGATGCACCACCTTATACCTCCGGTGCTCCCGGTGCTCCCGACATGATTCTTCGAGCGACAAAGATGTTTTTGTTTAGCGACAAAGATTGCGATTTCAATAGGAAAATGGGTGATTTTACCAACAGTGTGGATCCATAATTAATAAATTGATTTACAGGGATTTCACCAGCAAACAATTGTTACACTTTGGCTAAGCAGGGTTGCAAGAATGGGCAATAGACTTAATTACCTAGGCCCTCTTTGAAAAACATGGGGAATTAATTTAGGGGCTGCGGATGGTGCGAATGGTGCGGATGGTGCGAGTAGCGAAACAGCCGCGCTATGCGCAATATGATTTTCCAAAAAAATAAACTCCATTTATAGGTGATTTTCTGTTGCCATGTTTGATTACCGGAGAGTGTATGTGTATATATACACAGTATTTATAGCAGAACTGTTTTTCCTGCCAGAATTGCTTTTCTGTCCACTTAGACTCAATTCTGCTCTCAGACTTTTTTGGCATTATATATATATAGCTATATAATATCCATATACAGTGTATGTATATATATATATAACATAAATATATATATATATCCCATTGACTCCCTTAGACTCACAAAAAAAAAACATACATCACCATGTCAAATCCCTTTGACTCCGCTTAAACTCCAAGATCACCATAGCTAGGAGCAGCCTAGGAGCAATTTGAATTTCTTGCCCCGTTCAAACATCTCCACCTCCGCTCGAGATGCCTCTGCAGCTTGGATTTGGTGCACCAGAAATCCATGAAATTCCTACAGGATGGGGCCCCCTTTGTCGAGCGAGCCTAAAAGGTAGCCTAAAAGTGGCTGAATGAACTATGGTTTGTGGTGTATGTATATAACGAACTAGCTAATGGTGGTGTTATATAATGGTTTATAAACCAACGTTCACATCACGTTTGGGGGCCCATCCTGTATGGAGGATATCTAGTGGATTATCTACAATGGAATAAATATACCAATGATATTACTAATTCGGTCGAGCAATAGTATAATAGTAAGGTTATATCCCATTTTTATGTGGATTATCTACTATATATCTATCTATATCTGGTGGATATAGCATTTATATCCATTTATGCTATCATGGTGGATATACTAAAAAAATCTGGGTAAAACAATGCCATGGTCACCATCCCCAGGTTTGATGCTAACCATACCACCCATAAAAATATCCATAAAAATGATGCTTTAGCATTACCCTCTGGTAAACTAACAGTTTGCTATGGAAATTCACCATTTTTAATGGGAAAATCCACTATTTCTATGGTAATTTTCAATAGCTACGTTAAATTACCAGAAGGTAGCTCTTGCGCCAAACTCGTTTCACTAAAAACATCTTTAAAAATTATAGGTCTGCTCCTTGCCATGGCTGCATGTAGGCATATCCTCAGAGATATGTTATGAATTGTTATGATATGTTCCGCTTTGCTTCCACTAGCCACAGGCTACCTCCATACATGTATGCTGAACAAATTGTTTGATCAGCACATTCACTGAGAAATTGTGATTATAAAACATGTTTTTCAATAGTCTTTGAATATTGACTTGAATGTATTTTGCTAGCATGAAAATTAATGAAACCCTGTAGAAAGCACCATGATAATGATTGATGATGCGTGATGTCTAGGCTCCCTGTTTGCATTGTTGGTTTGCCAGAGAAACATGCACAAGGCCTAGTAGATGCAATGTTTGAGGGGGACTCCGATAAGAGTAGGAATATATACAGAGGCTACTTCCATTGGTTCCTGTCTCAGACAAAGTTTCGGGAATGTTTGTGCTATGTTTGAGTTGAAGCGGATCGCTGCATGTGGGATTCATTTTGCCATGTCTCATATATTTTGTTGGATAAAAATTGGGAGTGCGTTATTCATATGTAATCGGAGAATCATTTGCTGGTTTCCACAGTCCTTCCAATTCAGAAAGCCGCTCGCCGTTAGTGTTGTAACATTCACTTAGAATTACAAGACGACTGGTGCCGTTGAGATAACTCCGCTCACCCCAATAAGGGATGAGAACCTGTGGCTCCAAGCCGATATGATGAAGACTCGTTTGCGAAACGATCGTTTTGACGCCACAAAAAAAAAAAAACAATCTCCATAAATATAAACCTATGCATTGGAAAATTGTTGATGGGGAAAATCAGAATGGACATGTTGTTTTGGCATAGAGGTTTGGTTAGGTATGTTAAAGTATAAACGACATGTGCAAGAAAAATTAAAGAACAATGTAGAATAAAGGATATGGGCTCTACTACCGAGCCAAGTCAAAGAAGAAACACATAAAAATAGTAATGCAGCAGGAACGTGAACATAAGGAAAAAAATAGACAATCATGAATAAACGTCATATTATTGAATTCAAGTCGCATAAACGACTATCAACTATCAACAAAAACAGCTTTACAAACAAAAACAAACGTGAATTTGGATGAGGCCCCTATCGCTGAAGCCAGTGGCGGTCGCAAATCTACCAGCCAAAGAGACAGGATTTTTGACTGAGAAGATTAGCAATGTCCAATCCAATGGTACATGAGAATCATCCAAAGGCTCTATAGTTGGATATTATATATACAAGATTTGACTAAGATATATCATACATGTATTGTATATATATATATGTACATATATACGTGTATATATATACATATGTATACGTATATAGTATATCCAAAGGATGTGCATCTTAATCGTGAGGTTTTGTTTCGCCGGTAATCCCTAGCCAAATTCCCTGGTCGCACCTGCGTTTCACGCAGAGCCCAGGCGATGCCCAGCAACAGCAAAGTGTGCATCACCATAGCCTGAAAGGAAAGGGACCCAAGGGACCCTCAAAGGAGAGCGAAGCTTTAGGTCTTTTTAAGGAAATCGCGATCTGTAGCAGTCCAAAATCGATAGAGAAGTAGATCAACGGTTTTCGTGTTTCATGTTTTTTTTCAAATAGGCAATTGCGCAATCCCAAAATAGATGCCGAAACATAGAAAAAGTGAAAAACCTGGAAATATGAAGAACTTCAGCCTTTCCGCATCCTGGAAACACGACGAACGAGTCTCGGCATCTTTCTGGGGGGGTTGCTGTAACTAGGACTGATGATGGATATATCCATACTATTCCATACTTAGATGGGGCCCCCCAGTGATGTGAACGTTTATAAACCATAACAAAACCCCCACGAAGACTAGTTCGTTATATCTACCATAAACCATGGTTATATCTACCATAAACGCCATAAACCATGGTTATATCTACCATAAACGCCATAAACCATGGTTATATCTACCATAAACTTTAGATTCCAGCCACTTTTTTAATATAGGCGTTTCTGAACGCGAGCTTGCTCGCTCGACGGAATTTTCCCCATCCTGTGGTGAGGATCCCATGAATCCCCTAAATATCCACCATGTTGTTCTTGGTGAAATCCCATGAAAAATCATCATGAAACTCCAGTAAATCCATGTAAATCCCCTAAAAAAACACCATTGAATCACCAGTAAGTCACAGGAAAGCCCCCATCTCCAATGGGAAAATCGATGCTTTCCGGTGTAGATTTTCCCAACAAAACCAATCCATAGCTAATTAAATGGGGGGGCGAACATGTAAACGGGAAAACTTCCTAGTAGGTTTGTGATGTTGTATTCCAACAATGGGGATCTAGTTAGCAATTATGATGAGACTTGATCAATTTTATGTCTACTAAACAGAGGAACCATCCTGATTTAGAGATGTTTTTAGCATCAAAAAAAAAGTGGATGAACCTTATTTTTCACAGCCAACATGGCTTTAAGCACTTTAGCCGACACACATATTAGAGATTTTTCAGCAAGAAACATCGGTTTTTAATCCACAGCTTTCCTGACGGGTCGATTCAGAAAAAAATCATGGTGAATGCAGCCTGGATAAGAATTCAACATGATTTCGCCATCAGATTGGGTCTTAATGGTGATTTAATGGTGATTTAATGGTGATTTAATGGGATATAATTAATGGGATATAATAAAATATAATGGGATATAATGGGATATACCCTCTGGTAAATTAACAGTTCGACCCTGGCAGATATATCGGGGTTGGTTCAGACTAGTGAAACCATGAAAAATGACGGTGATTTTCAGGGTCTAACTGTTTATTTACCAGAGGGTAAGAAGTTTTGAAAAATTGGCTCACACGACTGTCGCTGGCAATTCCTCAGATATCGTGGATGATTGTTGTTCCCATTTTTGGATGTGAAATTATATCCCAACTAGCTCCGAAATCACGACTTGTTGTCAGTGTCTGAGATCAAGCCTGTGGCAACCGACTTGACCCGAAAAAAGTATCCAGAAAAACACATGAGCCATTACCCATAGAGACTTAAATGGCCTTAACAGTGTGAAAATTGTTAGATGTTATTGGTATATTGAGGTTCTACAAGGTGGTGTTCTCCTATAAGTCGGTAAACCCCATGATCAAAAATGGGGATGGGTCAAGTTACCAAACCCCTGTTTTTGGTTCACATCAAAAACTTGCGATTCATGGATATTCATCTCCATAAAAATGGTAGTTATAGGTATATAGCCAATCTGGTTGCTGGTTTCAACCTACCTACCCCTCTGAAAAATGATGGAGTGAAAGTCAGTTGGGATGATAAAATTCCCAACATATCGAAAAATAAAAAATGTTCCAAACCACCAACCAGGTATATATTGATCCATAGCCATATATAGATATATCTATCATAAATCTCAGTTGGCCTAATTACTTGTTTAAACCAACTTCTAGCTCGCAGGTCTAGCCAAAAGCAGATTCCGACTGGAATCAAATCACCATCTTCACGAGGAAAATGGAGGAATATTATCCAATATTATTTATATGCATCTGAAAATATGATCATAATTCACTTAAATACCGCCATTTTCAGGAGATATATGATATTTATTATATATATATGCCTATCATTTCCATGATTTCACCATCATTTTCAGTACCCAAAAAAATCTCCGACTTTTTCCTTCAGCGAAGAAGATGTACCACCAATGGTCAGTCAAAGATGTACCGCGGGCCATATAAAACTTCCTCCCAAATAGGGGTATACGGATTATACTGGGTATATAGCCAATCTGGTTGGAGTTTTTTAAACCATCTTCAAAAATATGAGTTCGTCAATGGGAAGGATGACATCCCATATATGAAATGGAAAATAATCCAAATGTTTGAAACCACCAACCAGCCATGTTTAATGAATTTAAACCTCTATTAGGGATGGTAAAAATGATTGGGTTTACTTCATGAATCAGCCGCAAAAAAAACGAGCCGAGACACGCGCATTCTGCACGTAACTTGGGAGTTCTACAAACAACCAGAGGCAGCGGTGGTTGCGGTTTACAAGTTTTCCACCTTGAGCCGAAATGGAAGGATTTTCAGGTGGCCACAAACTATCCAAAAAAAAAGGCGATGTTTTTCATGATCCCCAGATTACCCTCTGGTAAACAAACATAACTATGGAAAATCACCATTTATAGTGGATTTTCCCATGAAAAATGGTGATTTTCCATAGTTATGTTAGTTTGCCAGAGGGTAATGGGATGGTTTGTGGCAGCTTGAAAAAGCAAACTCAGCAAACACCAGTGATTTGGGTTTCGGGTGCTTTATATCAAGTTGTTCCTCGAAGCCAACCAGGCTCCATACTTAGCGAAGCTGGTTTTCATAACTGGGATTATTAGAATGTATATATATATATGGATTTATGATAGATATATCTATGTCAATGAGGATCTATGGAAGATTTCATTGGAATATGTTCTAGACACAAATATGGGATATATTGAATTATTATATATTGATATCCTGGTACAGTAACACTTTTTCTGTATGCCCACATTTTCTTGCCATGTTCATTGAGAACAAAATGGTAGACCAAGGAGTTTTGGGGTACCCCATTTTACAAACCCATAGGGCAGTGTCACCACCAGGTATGCTGTCTACATCCCCAATTTGTTGTTGACTAAGTCCCCAACTTCTGCACGTAAATCCCAATGCATGTCCCAAGTTTTCCGGAGACCGCTACAATCATGGCTAACCTTAGATAATAAGCACTAAAGGTTACCCTCTGGTAAACTAACATAACTATGGAAAATCACCATTTTTAATGGGAAAACTCACTATAAATGGCCATTTTCAATAGCTATGTTAGTTTACCAGAGGGTAGAGTCTTAATAGTTGGCTTTGATCATCAAAAGTGCAAACGATTTTTCAGTACTAAGCCACCAAAACTCATTCTCGACGGAATTGTAGATTGGAGGTCAACCATTCCAACATATCTTTTGGTTTATCCCCAGAATCCCCATGGTGGATAAAAAACGAACTACAATTCATGCGGTGAATCTAAAGCAAGAAACATATACAAAAAGGGGTCCTACCTTGTACTATATACATATAAAGTAACTATATACATAAGCCATATATTCCAATTAAATATTAAGCAACAATACATTTTATATATATATACATGTAAATGAATCATACCTATATATATATATATGAGGTTTCCTAAAATGGAGAAACCCCAAAATGGATGGTTTAAAATGGAAAAACCCTATTTAAATGGATGATTTGGGGTACCCCTATTTTAGGAAACCGCTATTATATATATATATGTTAACTAAATGTATACATGTATATATATATATATCTTAATTAACTATATAAACCAGCATCTACAAGCGCACTATGGAGCAGATGGGATTCATCAACCACTTCGATCTCTGGTGGTGTCCAAGCGGTTGTTTGGTGATTTAACCAAGCAAAATGGGGACTTAACTAGCGGGATTTCTATGAAATCATGATAACAAAGAGGATGGAAATAACAAAAAAATGTCCTGGTTGCATTCATAGTAGAGACTAGTCAAACCTATTTTTCCCTTTTGGTGAAACGAAACAAGAGACATGTCAGTGGGGGACATGTCTCTGAAGTGTCCGAAATCGGGACTGAAGCAGCTAGCCTTGAGTGTTTTTTTGGGGGGGCTACAAGGGGCTTTACAATGGGTATAGCCTCTGGTAAACATACAAAAAACTATGGAAAGTTCCACCATGTTTGATGGTTAAATCAACTATTTCGACTGGGCCATTTTCAATAGCTTTTTGTACGTTTACCAGAGGATAGTTGCAATGTCTATCTTTAGTTGGGGAACTCTTTCAACTGGTTGATTTATGTATAGCAACAGTGGGATTACATACCGTATATATTTCAACTATTGATATCTGGTTGGTGGTATACCTATCCCTCTGAAAAATATGAAAGTCAGTTGGGATGATGACATTCCCAATATATGGAAAAAAAGAATTCATGTTCCAAACCACCAACCAGTATATATTGGTCATAAGGGTCTTATAATGGATATATCAATAAACAGTTGTACAGACATATTAAAGTTAATCACTATTGATCATATTGATTATACATGTATCTAGCTGGACTATTGATATATTGGTTCTGTATAAGTCTAACAGTTCCATCACATTGGGGGCCACGGGTTCCGCGATTCTGCGCACACGGGGAAGACGCTCAACAAGGCATAACAAAGGACCTGCCGTCGATACTCGTAGCATGGGAAATCTTCGGAGGATTCGATGGGAATTTCAATGGTAACATAATTTTTCATGGTTGGTGGTTTCAACCCCCTGAAAAATATGAGTCAGTTGGGATTATTATTCCCAATACTAGTATATATGGAAAAATAAAAAATGTTGGAAAACCACCAACCAGTTTTTCATGGATGGTACGATGTGGGGCCCCTGGCCACGAAATCGCTAAGTTGGGGTTCACTAATCACTCCAATTTCACTGTGGTATATGGTACGCAAATAACGAACTAGTTACTGGGGTGAATCTAAACCAACTTATAAGTGGGGGGCCCCACATTGGATGATGTTGTTCTTACCAATGATGTTACCATTGAAATATTTTGGAAAACCGATTTCCAATATGAAAAATGCCGTTGAAAAGTTTTCCAATATACCAATGGTAAACATAATGTGGCTGTTACCAATGAATTACCTAGGTTGTACATATATATATACATATATATGGATGTAATGTCATTTGAAAAACTGAGAATATAGTTGATAATTATTGCGGAATTTAAGTGATTTAAGCCATAAGCCATGAGACTTGAAGAATGATACATAATGATACCAAACAATCAAACATGTGGACTTGACAACAAGATGGAGACCTCATCTGCAATATATGTTTGATTGCCGGAAGGTAAACGCCACTGTCGGATACTGTGCAATGTGCAATGTAATTAATGAGGATTTCATCAAAGCCACAACGAAATCCCTATTTTGTGGTTGGTTTTACAATGTTTTATACCCTATTTGTTCATGGTTTCAACTATTTTCAACCAATCATTTCACTACATGCTGATTGATGCTGACTGAAAAGCTGATGAATCCTGTTTGCTGTCATGGTCTATGCCGCTGAAAAAAACTTCCCCCTTTCAAAATAAAAAACTCCCAGCCCAGAAACAATAATCTGGTTGGTGGTTTTAAGTCATTGGGAAGGATTATCCCATATATGAAATGGAAAATAAAAAATGTTTGAAACCACCAACCAGATAAGGGAAGTAGGGAATTGACAGATATGAACGGGACCATAGAATGGGAGTGTAACTGACATGAACGGGGATGGGATTAATATCCCATTCATTTCATATCCTGAATATATTTCCATATAGTACCACCATTCTTGCTGCTACTTAATATTCTTGTTACTTCAACATCCTTAACATCCTTTCAAGCGCCATTTCTCATGCTTCCCATCCACCATTTCTCACGCTTCACGCTTCACGCCGAAAAAAAAAACACCGCCTCCGTCGGAAGCGCGAGCTGCGCCGCGAGGCTCAGCGGCCGAAGCCCTGGATGGATGGGATGATTGATAATTTACTGCAGGATACTGGGATCATTGATGGTTTATAATCATTGGATTATAGACTAATAGATCATCATTATAATCCAATATAGATCATTATTATAAATTGTCTTGTATGATTATTAGATAATTGGATTATAGATCATTATTATAATGGTTTATATTGGTTTATTGGATAATAATGGTTTATAATGGTCTATAGATGGGGCCCCCCAGTGATGTTAGTTGGTTTATAAACCATGAAATCACCCCCATTAACTACGGTTACCGTATAGTTATATCTACCATAAACCATAGAATTCAGCCACTTACAAGGCAACTGAACGCTATCGACTGGGGGCCCCATCCTGTGGGATTGTAATGGTTTATCTTACTGGTGCTAAACGTAGGGAATGGATAGGTTGCTGGGGGTTGCTGGAATGATTTTTGATAGTTATTGTGGATCATTGATGGTTTATAATCATTGGATTATAGATCATTATTATAATGGTTAATAATGGTTTATTAGATAATAATGGTTTCTGAGATAATAAGGGTTTATAATGGTTTATAGAATAATATAATGGTTTATAGTATTATTATAGATCTTTATAATGGGATTATTTTTATAGATAATGGTTTATAGATAATCCCTTTATAGATCATTATTATTACATTAGTTTGTTCTCGGCTTATAGAAATAATAATGTAATATACTGTAATAGACACTATTATAATGTTTCAAAATAATACTTACAAGGTGGTGCCCCCTAGATAGCTAAGTTGGTTTATAACTCCAATAACTATGGTTTATAGGTGATATATCTATAGTTAATGGGATTATAAACCAACAAACATAACTGGGGGGCACCACCTTGTAGAAATAATTGTTACTTAGACACTTGGAATTCCTACAGGAAGGGGCCCCGAGGCGAGCTCGCGTTCAGTTGCCTGAAAAAAAGTGGCTGAATTCTATGGTTTATGGCAGACATAACGAACTAGTTAAGGGGGGTTATAATGGTTTATAAACCAACTTCAAACTGTGGGGGGCCGTCCTGTGGAATTCCTATGAGGGGGTTCTTATGAAACACGGTGAATAATGGGATTCTAATGGGATAACAATGGAATGACAATGGGATAATAATGGGATTTAATGGTTTATAACTCCAATTTCACTATGGTTTATGATACTTGAATCAAAACGTCGCCAGGAGAGCCGAGAGATTTTGAGCACTGATCTGCTGTGGATCTAAGAATAGCATAGAATAACCACTTAGTTAGATGATTAGATATGCTATTCTCAGATGCTTCTTCTTAGATGGTTATCCTTAATTTCTTAATCATCTCGAAGAATAGCATCAATAACCACTTAGAATACGGGATGGGGCCCCCAATGGTTTATGGTAGATATAACTATA